TAATGTAAATAATAATATTTTATGGCTTGCTGGTTCAGCCATGATTGCATATGACGGAGACGAGACGTGACATTCACGCAGGCGCGGTCACGTTGCGTTGTTTGTAAACATGTCTACTGACTGGTGAAGGTTACTTGTAACAACTTGTACCAGGTGGTTTCACTTTACACTAGTGTCCGTTATAATTTCGTTGTTTTGGCTATTTCAAACGTAGGTACTGATCATGAATAAATAAAGAGATCATCTTGCATTTTGTAATAAACAGTTATCATAACAGTTATATATACACACGTAGGCCAATAAATATGTGCTCAAGCGTCAACCCTCAACGTTTAACACGTCAGATCTTAAGTTTAACAAAATCCAATCGCTATTTTAAATATGTATAATGAACAGTCAAAACAACAATCTAGAACAACTGGAATTCAAAAGGCAGAACGTTAATAAACAAGAAGCCAAAACAAGAGTGACGCATCACATAGAATTTCACTTGCATTCCGTAATAGCATGAATCAATGTTTACCACGCATTCTTTATAAGACAAGCAAGTTACGATACCATAAAAGGTTGTGTTTCTTACTTACCTCGTTCCGCAATAACGGCCTGGCTACGTGCGTATGACGCCTTAACCTAGTTGCCGGCGCCCTTGGTCGCCATCTGCCCGTGTAATTGTTCCTGGTTAGAAAAGTAACAATATATTTATACATTAAGAAATTGTAGAAAGAAAAACAAACTATTTAAACTAAGTACCTAACGTTTCATGTTATAAAAGTTTTCGAATAACCTAGTTAGTTTACCTTAGGTTATTAAAACTGTACTTAATCTCTAATCCGGCCATAGTCCATCTGTAGGCCCTGAGGACACGGTGGAACACAGTGGGGGAATGCCCTGCGTGGGCCGAGCACCGCCGTGCCCTTGGGGAAGTGATGGCGATGGCGACCTCTCGCGTCCGGGCCTAGTGCAGGTCATGATGCGGAGCGAGGGGGACTGGGATGCCGTCTCCTCCTTTTGCGAAGCAGTTGTGCTAGCTAAGGAGGAGGCGGGACAATGAGGCAGCGAAGCGCTGCCTCCTCGCAACCCAGCCATCGCGAAGGACGAACCGGGCGTCGAGGACCGCGGGACGATCTCCGACCACCGTGAGCGCGGGCCTGCGAACGACGAGCATGGGTGGCTCCCCGTCCGACCAGAAACAGACCCGAGCGTACGGCGCGACGCGTTCCGCGCGCCTCAAAGAGCCACCAGACCACCACGGATGGGGCCCAACAGGGCTGATGACGATTCGGAGTCGCGAAGAACCGAACGGGTTACCGGGGCTCCGGCTCGACGTGCAGGAGAAGGAACGGGGTGGTTTTTAGTCAGTAAGAGTCTGACACTCCTTCCCGCCTCGCCCAGGCGGGAGCAGTCATTTTCACCCCTTAAAAAATCTATCTGTAGACTATATCACGCGCTGTTGATGATGATGATACGTTTTCTAATAGGTGGCCCAATAAGAAGACATAAGCTGCTTAACCGAAATAGTTCATGTAAACTAAATCCAGTGGCGTAGCGTATCTTGGCGGGACCCCGTATAAAAATTTTTTGGGGGCCCTTATGAAAGATACTTAAAAATTTCTCAGAAAAGATTTTTTTTCATAATATAAGTACTAATTAATAATTTGTGTTAAAACCGGAGAACTTTCCAGGTCGAGCCAGTCGAAATAAAATATAAATTGAGAAGTTTTTATATATTTTTGCTTAAACACGTTGTAGGGAGATACGGCGCTAGCTCAAAGTCAAAGTCGCGGAGAACCTAACGGGTAACCGGGGCTCCGGCTCGACGTGCAGGAGAAGGAACGGGGTGGTTTTTAGTCAGTAAGAGTCTGACACTCCCTCCCGCCTCACCCAGGCGGGAGCAATCATTCGATGATTTTCCCCCCTTAAAAAAAAAAAGCTCAAAGTCAAAAGTCAAAGTCAAAATCATTTATTTCAATTAGACCAGGATGGCACTTTTGAACGTCAAACAACAAAAATTTATAAGTGAAGCTAGTTGCTCATTCCAAGGCGTAGATTCCTATGGAGAAGAACGAGCAAGAAACTCCATAGGTTTCTCTTTTTCAATCAGGTTTACAATACAATTCTCTAGTTACATAGTTTACGCCCCTGACTAAATCACTCAAAAACCAACTAAAAGAAGTAAGTACCTAGTACACGTTTAAATAATAGGTACATACCTTTACTACCTAGGTACTACTTAAAAGACTGAATACCCTAGATCTTATTTTTTTTTAAAGGCTTATAGTAGGTAGAACACATGCTCAATTAATTTGGATTTGCGCGTCGGCGTGAGCAAGGGTCAGGGTGGGACGATTACGGAACAGCGGTTTGCCCGACTGGCTTCTGCGGCAGGGGGCACAGCACCCGACAATGGCAGTTTGTCTTAGTATATAAGTTTATACTATCAATTAATACAGCTCCTCTATCACTAACACCACCAGCAATTAATAAAGCACTCGAAATCCCATTGAAAGCAGTAGTTAGGTTTCTTCAGAGTGATACGATATCACCACAGGGCTTAAGGCGTGGTAGATTTTCTCATTTCATTAGTGGGCCTGTAAAGGACGCCGACATGGACTAGGTTCTAATATCAGAATGTTGGTAACTTATTAACTAGTAATTTCTTCATCCGAGGTTTTTGAAAGGTGCTAGGGGACCCGGTTGCAGCGCGCCATCTACAGGCCTTGGTAAATATCAATATCAATCATCGGCATATCAGCCCCAACACATTCAATGCTGAAGTTAAACTTCCACCAATGACTACCAGATTCGGCCGTTTGGTACTGTGAGAAGTGATCTGCATCCAGGATATAAATGAAGTATATCTACCTAATGCATAATAATTAAGGTATTAAAAAATAACATAGGTCCAAGTAAAATATTTATATTAGGTATATGACATAGACATAACTATACCTGTACCTAGATAGCTTGTATATCACGCAGGTACGTCACGTGTCCTAAAATAAACCTGTAATCTTATCTGATTTTAATTTTTAGCCATGTTTGTGTTTTGAGGTTGGTAAGGTTTTCTTACTTACACATTAACAAAGATTTCAATCAATTAAAAATATACATAATAATTATGAAACAAATGGGCACCTAAGTAAATACGTAATTTAATAAAAATCATATTCACACAGGATGTACAAAATTAAATATATTCTGTAAGGATTAGGTGCTTACCAATTTATCGCCGTGTCAGGATAATATTATTTGTAGATTTTTGAATTAAATCAGAGGTATACCTAAGTCTAATAAAATGGACGAAATTATTGATAAACAAACGACATTGACTTGACAAGATTAGATTCAAGGTCGTCTAGTCTAGCTATCTACATACGATAAAAGTTGGGTTATGTAGCATTGGAAGTAATTTCCAGAAAAAGCTGAATAAAGCTATTTGATGAGAATGCAAAAGGATTCCATATTTATATTTATACAAACTTTTAGAACAAAGATACCAACACTATGACTAAACTTACCATTACACTTTCAGCCATTGCAAAATTTTGACCTCGATTATAATATTTGTTACAGTTTTCAACACAATCACCCAAATTAATCGATGTCCAGCAATATCAATTGTTTTCACTAAATCTGTCAAGTTAGGAACATGCACGGAACACCACAGTGACACTCTTATAGGTTTTGTTACAATTTCCTAAAAAAACAACCACTTAAAATTATTACTATCAGCCATTCAACCCAAAATCCAGCATGACTGACTAATACGAAGTTAGATATTACGCCATCTTGTGACCAATGTGAGGATCAAATATATTATTTCCGGCTGTCTTACAAATTGATGTTTGAATCTCAGCTAAACCGGCATTATTTTCGTTCTGAGTGATGACAGATAGATGGAGCTTATATAAACTCGGTATACGCAGTGACAAGGATGAAAAGTCCCAATAACAGTTATCTTACTATTCTTAAAAAACTAAAATAATTAATGATGTTTTTGACATAATAAATCTTGGTCATCAAAATGTATTATTATAATTTACAATATTACTTTACCATCCATCTGCTTTCTTTCAATTGAACCTACTAATTTGTAAGGAACGAAATTAAATTATAACTTACATACACACTCATTTCATAAAAAAATATGGAGCAAATACCTAAGTACCTGAGTCATCTGGGTGAATCCGAAGATAATATAAGTGTAATTAATCTTAGTACCATGGTTTGAATTATTTTATTCCGTTTAAAATACACCTAGGTGTTTTAATAGAAACGAGGTTGTCCTTATTCTCCACCAGAGGCCGCTATCTATGTATACCTCCTGCAACGCTAGGTAGGTGACGTAGGTACTTGTTATCCAACTAGGTACTCTTCGATATTGGCACCACCACCATTTTTGTGACGGTAAATGGCAAAGTAAAATTTAAGGAATATAGAATAGAATTTCCGAAATTGTGTCAATATTCACTTCTCTAGTTTCAAATTCTACTTACCCCATTTTACGGTACCAACAAAGATTTATCGCTCTAACTTCAGAGCCGGTCGTTGGATGTTAGTCGTCGGTTCAAGGTATGTTTGTAAGCTAATCTGAATTCAGTCCTCCCAGCACCCAATGCGAATCTCAAAAGCTAGGCCACCTTGAAATGTATATTCTTCCAATTTTCTTCGTACTACTCGAGTTTCGCTGATGTGGTGCCTTGAAACCTTAAACTACTCTCAGAATGACATTCAGACTGAACTGTAGTATTTTAGGAAAAATTAAACATATCATAGGCAGCAAAGCCCATTCGAGTTTACGACAAACACTAGCGATGCGGTTATTTAGCAGATGCTGTTAGTGACGTTTTCCAAGGATTTTGAAAAACAAGTGCTCTGTTGTTTAGTATGTTATTTATACATTCTGAAAAATCTTTCTTGTGGAATAGAAATGTTTCATTTGAACTACTATCTATTTACGTAATTTCAAAGGAAAGACTCGTTGCAATAATAAATTAAAATACACTTAATAATCATACATTTATTATTCTGAATTTAATACTGTATTACATAGAAGAAATGCACTTCTTAGAAACATTCAGAAGACTTCCCTTTGGGACAGTTTTATATAAGGAGTACCTCTCCATAATATTTTATAAATTGGATAAATATGTCGCTCGTGATAATATAATCAATATTTATGAAGATCTGCATTGCCACATACTTAAAAATCTATGTATATTTTTCACCAACGCTCAATTTTCGAAACTAAATCCTTAAATAGTAAAGCATAAAAGTACGATTGCCTACGAGATATCTCTGTTGGATCAATAAAATTTTGCAAATTAACAACAAATAATATACTCTACAGTTAGTGCTTATACTGCCGCTGCCACATAATTTGTCAACAACATTTTCCATCACAATAAAGAAAACTAGAAATCAATGAACAAAAACGAAATGAACATTAAATTTACTTCAATTCAAATTTATATCAATTCGGTGACCGCATAGAAAGGCATTGTGACACATATCCAACATAGTGAAATACTCAATTTTTGAGAAAACACACAGCAAGAGAAGAAAATACTACCAATATAAATACAGACATCTTAATTCATTCAGTCAAAGTGGAACATGTATAAAATATTTATTAATAAGAAATAATCAGTCTTGTTTAGAGAAAACATTTTGTCAAAACGCGGTGAGCACACGCCTTGATATAAATATTATCACAATACAATATGTCAGATATGATGTCATCCCTTCTCTGGACGTAACTAGTATATAAATCGCCTGCTACGCTACTTAGTGTTATTATCACAGTTGTTTAGTAGAGGTGGGTGTAGTACTTTGTACATAATACAGGAGCTACCTGCGATACGCGACCATTCCGGACACGACACACGATGGCCAGTCTAATTTACGCACGCATAACTAGCATGGCCGTCCTACCGCCACCAATGACCTACTTCAGACACAATCTGATTAATAAATAGTAAAAAATAATAATAATAAACTAACGACGACTTCCCAGGCCAGCTAGCATTAAGATAATTATCATCTTTGAGACGAAATTACGCACATACATCCTTTCACGGCAGTCTTCTCTTAAAATGTACACAAATAACAAAGCAAGCCCGCATTTAACTCGTCACGAATGCGAAACTTACAAACACGTTGTTCACCCCTTATATCCGTTTATTAGACCCGTTGCTATTACATCGTATCTCTGAGATGTATCGTTAAAAACGGGGGTTCTTACTAAAGATAATAACTTTTACGTCCCATTGAACTGGTTCATTTTCGTCACCTAAAGGTAAACGGAAAACTAAATTGAATAACAATAAATTATTAAATCTTACACCTATTATAATTATTACATATTTGTGAACGTCTTGCAAGCTTTGTTGTCACAAACATTCTCATGAAATTCGTTCAAATAGTCAAAAAATATATATTTTTGTCTAGGAAACACATTCCAGACTTTTGGAAGTGTTCTTATGCATTACAATTGACCAACGCAACGACAGGTTATATAGTAATGAAATATCACAGATTTTTCCAAATCTTTGGACAGTAACGGGCGTCTAAACAATACATATGATAATCGTTCAGTATAATTTGTACCTATTGACTTTCTTATTAATAGCCTTTAGAACCCGTGTACGTACAAAGAAATCCAGTAAGTAACTAGACGACTTATCTGAAACGATGAGATAAAAATAATCAAAAATAAGAACAAATCACTTATTTGGCTATGAAAGTAAACATTGTGGTTGATTATTTATCACGCACAAAATACTATCTTTCTAAGTTAAATGCATGTTATTTACACACTTCTACATTTTTGTGAATGGTAAAATGAGTTTTTTATTCAAAGCCCAACTTTGTCTTAGATCAAATTGACGCTGACTAATTAGTATCCCTAGGCATAATATTCAAGATTATAAAGATCTAATCTTTAATAAAAAAATAACATTGAAATCAGTGACTGAAATGTCATTGACATCACTTTACATAAGAAAAATATTCACAATTTTATCTGGCAATACAGATTGTTACTATGAAGTATATCAAAAGCATTTAATAACGCGTTTTTAAGTATTTAATTTTCTAATACTAAATTGTCCCAATATCAACTGGATTCAATCGTTTATAGTAAAAATAATTTATACAAAATATTTCAGATAATTTTCTGGCATTTTAAAAACCTTCCCCTAAATTTTCAAACATCTTCTATATGTTTCGTGCATTTCGTACATCATACAGACACTTTAAAGAAAACGAAAGGCACCCGGGATTACACGAGTGGGTACCCACACCAACTACTCTAACAAATATTATAATGATTAAAATCTAATGTGGAACACCTTTTTTTTTCATAAGTTCCACTACACAATCATATTTTGGAAAAAATAAGTTCTCTGTTGGTGGTGTATCAGTGATTGCTGTACTGTTATAATTCGCAATGTAGTTCACAAAAATCTAACAAGTGGCTTTAAGTCACAATTTTAATTCATCTCAAACTATTTACTTCTTTTTCATCATTTTTCGTGAGCTTTCAGTTGGAAATTTATCAGGTCGCTCATCCAACCAACAGAGAATAATCTTATAAACCTAACACACATTTATTAACTTTAATTCAAATGGATCTGAAAGAGAATTCACAAATAGTTTTTGTTGCTGTAAAGACAAATTTTATAATATGCTCTAAGATAATCTAGTCGACAATGCAATTATTAACTTGTATATGGTAAGGATGTATAATATTGTCCACACATAGAAGTTAAAATAATTTTGTAAGCCTTCATTCAGATCTAAAAAAGATGAAATTAAAATATTATTGACATCAAAGAATCAACACCCCGCTAAGATATTAAGATTATTGACACATACATAGCTCAAGTATCAGAACTAGGACAACAAGAGAGCTTTATGGAAAATCTATAATGAACATCAATGTAACTATTATGTCGATAATGCTTTTATCGCCTTAAACTGGCGTACGACTTATATCCGGTTGTTTTTAGGTAGAGCTTTTAAGAGGCGGTGTGTCGTCAAAAATCAATTACTGCTGCACTGGAGCTGCGTAGAGCAATGGGCCCGGAGGCAGATGTGCGTAAGGTCCGCTTACACCCACTGCAGCTTGGTAACCGCATGGTCCGCCACCGCCAACGCCTCCACCGTAAAATTTGCCACCTGATGTATAAAAATCTTAACATTAAATAAAGCTACATTTCTTCACAATTTATGAGATTTACTTATACTACAAAAAAAGTACCAAGAGGATCTGAATCTAATAGTGAGTTATTACATACCTAGCATCTCCTGATGGTGAGGATGCATCTGGGGGTAGTGCTGTGGCGTAGCAAAGTGAGGGGGTGGCGATCCATACGACGAGCCTGTACCATTAGTCTTGTTACCAGCGTTGTTATTGCGGTACTGTTGTCCGCCATTGCGCATATCTAATTAAAACGTATTCAATTATTTAAATCGATCGTTGAAAGAGAAAAATCAATTTCGTTAAGAAAACATATAAAATGTATTTATTAATTAATTTATTACTCACTATTATATGGGCGTTGTTGACCATATCCGTTTTGTCCATTGTATCCATTCTGGTAGCCATTATTGTAACCACCTTGGTAGTTGCCCATAGATTCAAATACATTAGGGCTTGGGAAGGGAACTTGTTTTTGTTGGTAGTTGTTCTGTCTGTAGGCTTGATTGCCTTGGTTTTGATTCGAGAATCGAGGGGCTTGTGGGTTGCCACCACGGTTTTGGTAAGTATTCTGGTTTTCTTCAGGGTTTGTATTAGCCATCTTGTTGCTCCACTGGTTATTCTGCTGTTGGCGAGGTGAACTCGCACCACTGTTGTTCTCTTTACGTTGTTGCCAGCGATTGCGACCTGATGGTTAATATATGAAAATGAATAAATTACCTTTATATAGCACTTATAATTATTCATATTTTGTACACTCAAATTACCAGAGTTATTGTTGTTACTACGAGCCATTTCACTCAATTTAGGTGGTGGGTTCTGGCCAGTTTCACGCAATACTGCAAGTAAACCGCGAGCTTGACGGGCATCACCAGGAGTGAAGTAAGTGTATGCTGTTCCAGATTGTTGGCAACGTCCAGTGCGACCTGAAATTTATTGAACAAGTTTGTTTGGTGAGAAATTTCTAGTTTGCACAACTGTGTTAGTGACAAAATTAATATTATCACTAGACTCAAAATAGATTAGTGGGATGGTAAGAATTTGCTTACCAATTCTGTGAATATAATCTTCTGAGGAATTAGGGTAGTCGAAGTTGATGACAAACTTAACATCCTCAACATCAAGACCACGTGCTGCAACATCTGTGGCAATGAGTATACTAGTTGCACCATTTCTGAACTCTGTCAATACTGCATCACGCTCTATTTGAGATTTATCCCCGTGTATTGCCAGGGCATTATGTCCCTTGCGACGTACCGCACGAGCAATATCGTCCACCTGCAATCATATTATGTACTTAGCAAAAAATATCTTATCATGAAAGTTAAAAGAAATATTTAAAATAAAGACAAAAAGAAACTTTACCTTCTTCTTAGTTTCAACGAAAACAATGACTTTGTTTTCTCTTTCTTGAGAAATCTCTTTTAACAAGTTGGTCAACTTCATTTCTTTTTCATGTTCTTCACAAACTTCAATTATTTGCTTGATATTATTGTTAGCAGACAGATTTAATGAACCAATGTTTACTTTGACATAATCATTAAGGAAATCTTCAGCAAGAGCTTGTATTTCTTTGGGCCATGTAGCTGACCACATTAAGACTTGGCGATCTGGACGAATCTGTTCAATAATTTTACGAATTTGTGGTTCAAAACCCATATCCAGCATTCTGTCGGCTTCATCCAGAACTAAATAAGTGCATCGACGCAAATTTGTTGTACCACGTTCCAAGAAATCAATCAATCGGCCAGGTGTGGCAATTACAATTTCAACTCCTCGTTCCAAATCTCTAGCTTGGGGCCCCTTGGGCGATCCTCCAAATAGGCATGTGTTTCTAATGCAACCCTGTGCACTGTAACTTTGAGCAACAGATTGAATTTGCTGAGCTAATTCCCTGGTAGGGGCAAGAATAAGTGCAATAGGGCCATCACCCCGCTGAATACGTTGTTGATGCACAATATGAACAGCAGCAGGTAGCATGTACGCAAGTGTTTTGCCAGATCCAGTTGAAGCAATGCCAACCATATCACGGCCAGACAAAGCAATTGGCCAACCCTGAGCTTGTATACCAGTGGGTTCAGCCCAGCCTTGTTCCTTGATTGTGTTCAATATATGATCAGGGAAGTTACCTTCATCAAAAATTTGATTAGGGCGTGGAATGTTGTTACCACTGACGGTGATTTCCTTAGAAACGCGGAACTTTTGGACATCGTCATCTGAACGACCTTCTACATTGGCATGAGGCTTATAGAAATCCTTCTGAATTGGCTCAAGCTGGGATAAATCCCACATAGGTTTCACCAAGCTGTCTCCAGGGTGCTTAGTCTTCTTACCCCGTTGCTTGCCATTGAAATCTATTTGTTGGTTCATATTGTTGGGATTGAAAACCTTTTTAGGTCCAAAACTTTGCTGACCATTTTGATTGTTGAAATTTTTAGGGCCAAAGTTGTTTTTGGGAAAACCTTGTTTTGGTCCTCCAAAATCATTTTTTCCATTGGCATAAAACTGCATATTTCCACCTGCAGCTTTATCGGCGTCATAATCATTTTTCTTTAAAGGTTGGTTGTTATAATTGTTCTTCATCTTATTAAAGTCTTTTGGGCCACCAAAATCACCTGGGTTGCCAACATTTTCATTTTTGTGGTATTCATTTCTCATTCCATTAAAGTCATTTCTGGGTCGAAAATTGGGTTTGTTTCCCATGTTCCTAGGTCCAAAATTTTTAGGCCCTCCAAAATCCATTCCATTAAAAAACGGTACTTTACCGAATTGTTCATTCCGGTCTGGTCGAGGCCTGAAACTTAAAGTTATTAAATATATGTTTTAAGAAGCTACGTTAATTTACATCTCAATAAGTGAGATCAATACTAGAGTCTAACACAACTGGTAGATCAATATTTGTGACAATAATCCAACATAAAATAAAAAGATCATAATATTGTTTTCTATTATTTTAATAGATCTTTTACGTTTGTAATTACACAATTCACAAGAAGAAATCTATTTCACCGGATCTCAATCTACTAGTACTTTTTTTTAGTAAGTACTCCTCTAGTTGGGACTGAAGTTCAGCGGTTGATATGACATCCAAATTAAACTTTGTTATTTAACTATCCTATTGGTCCTTGGTAGTGTTACGACTAATATCATTGGCATTAGTCCAGGAGTAAAGGTGTGTCCTTAAGAGAATGCTTAGAAAATGTAGAAGTTTTATATAAAAGTGCACAAGTGTAATATTATTACACAGGTACTCAGTCAAACTTGAAAAAAAGAACCTATATATATCCTATGAATTTGGGACCACAGTGTCTATAATATTATTATTGTTTATTTGACGGAGGGGCCATTACAGTGCCTCCAGATTAGAACTAGTAAATAAACTAATACTAATGCAGGATAATGGAAAAAGAAAATTAGGTCAAGTGCATGTCTTTTTTTTTTTTCAGTTTTAGAGTATGTCCAGTGTCATGTTTAATTTAACACTTTATGTTCTTTATGGGGTGTAAACAGAAAGCTCCCGAAAAACGCTGACAGGTGTCAATAAAAAACAAGTTTTACTGTATATATAAATAAATAATGAATAATATGTTTCTTTTATATATAGTTATAATAGTTGTAGTTGTAATCAACTGCTTATCTCATTGAGTACCGTCATTATAAACACAATAAAAGAACAACAGGTTGCGGTCACCGGTGACCGCTCGGTGTTTGACAGTTTAAGGCTGATGTTGTATGAATAACACAAAAAAAAAACAATTTAAATAGTAAAACATTTTTGTTTGGTAGCGTTTCTGGATTTTTCCGTTTACATCCTGTATTTAATAACTTTTCACTTCGGCATGTCCATTTGTTAAACAAAAATTTTGGAAATTAATTGTTCTATAACCCCATACAAGATTATGGTCTAATAACTAAAATGAGCCTGTATAGCTAATAAGTGGGATTATCCAGCTTACATACAATAATACCTAACTTTGATAATATTACAAGTATCTGCCAGGTTTTTAACACAAAACCCAACAGGGACGACATTAAGTTAATATGTCCAAAACATATTTGATATTGATTGATATACTTGATATTAGTTTAGCAGCAAGGTGCTTTGGTTACAGTATTAATGGCTGCAGGAATAATTTTTTGTATGGAGACTGGAATAATATCAGAGTAGGTACACCAGGCCACACCCACCTCCCAGTTTTAAAGTGCCTATTACATAAGAGGTAGAACTATAATATCTATAAATTATGTGATTGTAAATTATTATTGTTTTTTTTTAATAAATATTGAAATAAAATAGTAATGCTGCCTGTCATGTCTAACGGCAGAAGTGCCAAGTAGTAGTATTGTTACACCAGTACTTACAATTGAAAAAAAAAAGAAACAAAACCTATCCATCCATCCATCCCACCCCCTCCTATCTACTTGCTCAGTGAAAGTACACATCATTTCATTTCCAAGTCTCTTAGAAAGAGAATGTACCTACCTATTAGTACCTATGTATTCAACAAACATTGTATTTCCAATAAGATTGTGTTGTTTATTTGTTTATTGATAAAGCGTTGAATAATGCTAGTACGCCAACTCAATTAGATCCATTTGGATATCTAACTAATTATTTCTTTGATAAGTAGGTAGACTAACAGTAGGTACATACACAGGTAGAGTGAAATTATACTAATGTGGTTCGGCCTTGAAACAATATTCCAATACCTATACGGTCATAAAGATACCAATAAGAATGTTGATTAAAAAATTTGATCAGTTACATTTCAGTCTTTGATGCAAAAATATTATTTTTGTTCACATCACAAGCGAATTTATTTCGAAACAACGCCTCGTGAACAAGGCGAAATTGATTACCTCTAGGTACTCTGCATATGAGAAATGAGAATATATAATTTTGTCAATCAGGTGCAAGCGCTTGCTAATGAAACGTTTTAACAATCTAATGAGGTAAAATCTAGAAGGAGAGCAGATATTTCTGGAAAACGAGAGTATTGATTTTTCATGTGGGTTGCGTTCATTATCAGCTGAGCAGAATAAATGCACTTCACAAAATGGCCGCCCATGATAGGTATGGGTAGACCCGATCAATAATGTGCGAATTTTTTTCATAGGGGTGTAACTATAATAATAGGACGGATACTTACATCGGATGCTGGTTGTGGAATCCGTTGTACTGCATGTTGCCGCTTTTGGATTCTAACTCTGATCTTATGAGGTGGTGATCGCTTGAGTGGGTATCTGGAACAAGGTGACGATATTCACAGATTTTAAGTAAAATACAAGAAATATGAAATCTGAAGTCTAAATATCATTTTCACAAGATACTGACCTCTCGTTTAGAGAGAATTTGAAATTATTATTTTTTATTCATTCACTAGCGACCTTTCTCAGACCCGGCGAACGAACAACTCGATAATGGCTGCCAACCGGAAACGGAATCTGGTCCACTTTAGTATTGCCAGTTAAAAGGAGTCTATACTACCAAATTTCAAGGATTTCCGGTAGGATTCTATTGTCTAACTTTGGGTTTATTCAGAGACAATCGTTAGTTATTACATCTATGGAGACAATGAACACAATAATTGTGTTGTTACTATCAACTAAAAATATCATAACTACAAAATTTTAAAGTTATATAAATAAATATATTATATAAATATATATATTGTGTTTAACGGTATATGGCAATAGGCTCACCCCCTATTACATGGGACTCGTAACATAAATAGTGAAAAGTGGGTGTTACATTGTACAGTGGCATTAAGTGCCGAAATGTGCACCTCTGCCTACCCCTTCGGGGATAAAAAGGCGTGATGTTATGTTATGTTATATTGTGTTAAATCGATTTTTACTAGGGTCAGGTTAGAAAACATCAATTTAGAAAATTAAGTTATGGTATAAACATGTTTTTATATAAATTAATTATGAATATATTTTTTATTTATCCAACCAATCTCACAAACGCACCATCAGCAACAACAACCGTCCCCATGTTCAATGCTGTGTAGATCATTGTTTCAACCTGTTACTTAAGATTGAAAACTCATTGATTGGCAGTACAGGAATTTAAACGTCCAAGAAACTTTTTTTTTTATATATTTACGATTGGCGCGGTGGTTGGGCAATTGGCTGCCGCGCAACTTCTCGCGGGTACGATTCCCACCCGTCACAACTCTGTGACGTGACACCACAGATCGTTATAGCGGATCTGGGTGTCATATATGTGTATGTGAACTTGTAAGTTTAAGTAACTTGTTCGTTCTTTATAAATTATCTTCCTTTGTCTTTATTTTTACCTAATAACCACCCAAAAATTCTACCACACAGAAGTTGAATAAAAGGCGGACACAGCCCCTTAAAACAACTTTGGCATGTTACTTATAGTAGTATAGTATAGTACAGTGACTGGAAGGATACCTGTCATTTTCTTAAGTCGAAAGGCTTAGTACAAGTTTGTTTTACGTTTAAAGTAATCGAAACGAGTGCGCGTTCGGCGCTCTCAATGGCCGGCTCCAAAGAACCTACCAATCAGAGGGTTTACAAGTTTGTTAACGTTAAACAAACTTGGAGGCCCGTGGTAACGTGGTGGTAACTCACCACAGACTTACAATAGATAAGCAGACCGAACATTAACTCCTATTTATACGGATATGATATCAATCATTCCTTGTCCTTGTTCTGTCAAGCACCAATCAAATAATGGCATCTTGTTCTTTTATCTGTAGCCACACTGCTCCACACATAGACAAATATTGACATATAGGCAGTATTTCCGTGCTGCCATATTAATAATATGTATTTTCCTACAACTGTGTAAAACTCGTTATAAAAGAAAAATATTAAATGTTTATACCATTAAACGTTTATATAATCAAAAATAAAACGTGCAGTGCATACCTACCGATGTGATAGCAATAAGAAAATACCTGGAATAAACTTACATCGGTAAGTTTTTATTACGTTGTTGTAGAGTAAAACAAATTTCGTTTTCTTTTTTAAATAAATGTACTGCTTTGATAGTGTTTAATCGTTTATAACAAAGCGTTATCAACTATAACGCCATTTGCCCATAAGTTTACTTAAAATACAATATACAAAAAGAATAAACAAATAAAATAAACTCAATTTTTCAATCATGACAGTTCAAGTACTTGTAGAATCAACAGAGGACTGAAGGAGTGTTTTGAAAGATTAAACTAATAAAGATATTGTTTTCATTTTTAGTAATAGTTACTACAAGGTTGTGTAATCTAACAAACCTGTTTTTTTAACAATTGTATTAATTATCGTAGATATAATATGTACCCACTATGTATCAATTTTATTACAACCATCAAATAATGTACTCATATATCTGAAATGCATAGGAATGTACTGTAAAATGACAATGCCAGATCCTGACCCAGTCATAATATCATTTACAAAAAAAGTAAATTGAAGAAAATAATTTAGACGATTATGAACCTTTTCACAATAAATCTTTTTATTTTTAAACTTGCGGTTTGCAATCTAATAAAAAAAGAAGTTCAATCCCGGAAATACTTTTTTGCAATGCGTCTTGCATATTGTCTACTGACTATTTGCGTTACATCATACGCATCGCTTGTACGAAACTATGAAAATAAAAAAGTAAGTAACTGTAAAAAAGATATTATTATACATAAAATATTATATCAGAAGTATAATTATGTATAACATTTATTTATTTATTAATGATTACAGATGAAATCAGGAAAATATAAAAGAAACGATTACTATCATTAGTTATGATTTTTTTTTGTGTAACGAAACGTTTTGAAGCGCTTGTCAGTTGTCAGCTGTCAGTGTCAATATTATCTTTCATTCGCTCTCTGCGTTTCCGTTGTTTTCGCGATAGTTATCATTGTTGTTTTGTGTTTTAAACAAAAACCGCAAGTTTTTCAGGTTTCAGGACAAATGTTTAGGTATCGGTAGTTAATACACTATACGATGCTGAATACTGCATACTTGTACATGACTTCTAATATAGTGGGTCAAAGATGTACTGAGCGCCTGGCATTGTCCTTAAACAAGACGGGTTAAGGAAATAACTGGTCTAGGGAGTGGTCAATGTTATTGAGGAGAGATGACTTCTTCTGATTCTTAACCATAACAAGTGCCTTAATAAAAATTATTTTTACGTGACGTGTTTTATTTGAAAAAACAATCTTATATACATTTTCTATATTATGAGGGTATTAAAATTATTGAGTACTATGTATTAAATAATTCTTAAAACTATTTTTTTTGAGTTCCTAAATACCTAGTTTCGGAATTATATAAAGGAGAATGGCAAGTTTGTATGGAAGTTTCATACCGCTATAAAATTTTTTATTTGTCATTGTTTTAACCTCATATATTTCCTGTAACACATACATAAATATTATTATGTTTTCGGCTTACTCACGTAATTATGTGACGAGGAACTCGGCTAGGTTCAAGCCATGCTAGAGACGCGCGGGTTTGGAGTGTGACACAGTGAGCACGGTATGTAACACTGTTTTTGCATCGACCCGGGATTCGAACCCAACACCAACGCAGCTACCGGCGGGCGAGTCCAGCGTGCCAACAGTGTCGCGCGCGCCGCCGTCGTCGATACCACAAATAGTTGAAAGTGCGCTTGAATCACGGCAGAGGCTGCGCTGGGCCCGCAGCGCCCGCAGACTCGAGTAGCCAGTAGCAGCGCGACAGTCGCCGCGTCGCGGGTTGCGAAATGCTGCTCATGAATATGAGGCTCTAGTATGGCTTGAAACTAGTCGAGTTTCTCGTCAAATAATTACGTGAGTAAGCCAAAAACATAATAATTTATTTAGTATGTCTCACAAAAGTTATAATACAAATACATAAATATTGTAGTTAAAATGGATATTTATTCAGTATTTATAAATATTGACCTTATATTCCAAAAACACGTTTATCTCTTTGTAGATACCTAATCATGTCCTTTATTTCTAATGCTGACCCTTTTCCGGCCCCGTTTAAGCTATAGATTGCGGTTGTTTGCTTTTTGCTTATTACAAATTTGAGATAATTTTAGGTCTGCATATTTATTTTAAGTCTGTGTAATACATAATACATGCATTAAAACCACTGACAGTTTTGGTGCTTTATTAATTTATAAGTGACATTACCTATATCCACCTTTTTTGAACGTCTTTGTTCTACCAAATATTACAGCGAAAAATCTGAGAAACCTACAATAATAACAGTCGAGAATCGAGACCAAAGAGTATAATAAGTATAGGATCGACTTAAAATAATAACCTATAGACAGTCGTTTGAAATCTATAAAATATTACATCTATGCTGATAGTCTATAAAATCGTATTTTCGTCAAAATATCAATAATTAAAATCCAATAAAGCTTTAAATTACATTATTAAATAGAATATTATTACATTAATATTTACAAGTTAAAATTAACTACAACTAAATTTGGTATTTATTTTCCTTTATTTTTATTGTAAATATTTACGTATGGCTATGGCCTAGTGTCTTGTGTGCTGTCAGTGTCGACCTTAGGGTATATTTGTTCTGTGGTGTCGACAATAAATGTCATCAAAAAGAATCTAATGTCATTTTCGTATTTCGTTGATTAATGAATATTGAACCGCGATGACCAAGAAGTTGACCAAGTGTACGTACATAAGTCAGTAAAACGCAAAAATGCAACATTTTCTCAGCGTTTAAGGAGGCGCCTATATAAATATCCATAATTTTATTAATTTCAACACTATAATAAAATTTTGGTTTGTTGGGAAATGTTAGAAGAGATGTACATTAACAAGATTCATCCAAATGTTTGAGATAATAAGAAAAGAAATAAATAGTGACTTGTTAACATTACACTACTCGTTTAATTTGATTAGTTATTGCAAGTAATACTGAAGAATCGCCAGTATGGATCAAGTTGTACTTGTTGAATTTGAGGATGCTACTGATAATTTGTATCCAGCTTTATTCCAGTGTTTTACTATCATTTTATGCGGGTAAGATTTTGAACACTTATGTCCTACAGTACCTATATGTTTACGTGACTTTTTATATTTGTAATAAGTACTAAATTAAAAAAGATTTATCAATGAAAATGCTTTTTTTCTGTAAGAACAATAATGTAAATGTTTCCTGTGCTTATAGAAAATTAAATGTTTTTACGCAATATTTTCCGATATAATATATATACTTAGTTAAGTAATTGATAACATCTACTAGGTACTACTATACATATCAATTTTTTTTTATTGTGCTATGTTTCAATTAAAATACTTATAAAATCACTTAGAACTGAGAGAGCTTGCTGTAATTGAAGTTTAGTTAAGCATGATATAAGGCATATGTTTATTTATATAAAGGTATTATAGATGTAACTATTTAGTTCCTACTATGTTCTTTTGACCTATTAGAGATAGCTAAAATATAACTTTTAATTGATAACCAACTTATATTTTAAATTATTGAGACATATCTATTGTCCAAGACTGAGAGTATGCTACTTACCTTACATTTAAATTTTTTCACTTTTTTAGGTACATAGCTGGACGTCTTAATGTAGTGTCAGCAACAGAATCTAAGGGCATTGCCACATTTGTAGGCACTTTTGCATTGCCATCTCTAATCTTTCTGTCCCTTGCCCAATTGGACTTCAGTACAGTTAATTGGACCTTTCTTGGTGCAATACTACTTGCAAAGGGTTTAGTATTCTTTGCAGTAATGATTGTTACTATGCTGGTCTCCAAACCCTTGAATTTGGGAAGAGCAGGAATATTTGCTATATTTTGCACACAAAGCAATGACTTTGCTTTGGGATATCCCATCAGTAAGTATTTTTATTTGATCCACATTTCTTTACAGAATTATCTTGGCATGGGGCACATTTTCAGCCTAATAAAGAGGCTCAAATAAAATATATGGCTTTATCTGCCTAAACAATATTTATAAATTCTGAATGTCAAGGTTAATTAAAAGAAGTAGTAATTTGAATTTTTAGATTACACAATATTATATATGTGATTCTATAATATATCACAGTTTGATAAAATGAAATATAAATAGACTTAATGTCACTATACATTAACTTGTTACTAGATTTTTTATACAGGTATTTTCATTTTTTAAGTAGATTTAACGTCTTTCTTGTATACTATCAGAAGATTTAGATCAAATAATAATAAAAATAACATAACATAACATCACGCCTTTTATCCCCGAAGGGGTAGGCAGAGGTGCACATTGTGCCATTGTACAATGTAACACCCACTTTTCACTATTTATGTTATGAGTCCCATGTAATAGGGGGTGAGCCTATTGCCATATACCGGGCACATTTCCAGACTCCGTGCTACTACTGAGGTTTTTACAAACCCAGTAATACTTTGCCCGACCTGGGAATCGAACCCGAGACCTCTTGCCCGGCAGTCGCACTTGCGACCACTCGGCCAATGAAGCAGTAATAATAAAAATCATTTGTATTTAGCTTATTGGCAGTCATAAACTTGAGAAAATACTTATAACATCACACCTTTTGTGCTTTTTATTAAAGGATAGGCCTATTTTATTACTATGCCAGGCACAATTTGAGTTTTCATACACACTATTTGTGAATTCTAAAATTAAAAACATGTTTACATTTTTTTTCTACTGGGGTCTCAAACCTGGAATAAAATGCTTCAGCAATCGCGGCAAATCGGCATTTGCGACCAATAGATCAAAGGTGAAGCTACTGAAGTGTAATAATTGTTTTTGAATGCAATGTATTTTGACATCAAACTTTTCTTTTCAGTAAATGCATTATACCAAAAAAGTCATCCAGAATATGCTCTCTACTTGTATCTGATGGCTCCAATTTCACTGGCAATATTGAATCCAATTGCTTTTGTGTTAATGGAGATAAATAAGCAAAGAGAACAAACACCTACTATAACTATAGAAGGTGAATCAACATGGTGTATTTGTAGTAGGAAGTTGTTGAAGCAGATTGCTAAAGGCATAGCTTTCAATCCTGTAGTTGTGATGACAGTGTTAGGTATTTTTGGTAATGCTGCATTTAAACACCAACTCTCCATTTACATTGAAGGACTTTTGGAGGTAAGTTCATAGTGTAGCTATCCTTTAAATAACATTTTATATTTTATTTCCTTCTTTTTAAGTGAGACTTTTAAGAATTTGCATCTATCTATATCACAACTTCACAGTGTTAGCGAAGTCTTATGTTATATAGTGATAATCTCAAATTATTACAGGTATTTGGCCAATCATTTGCTGCAACTGCCCTATTCTTGCTAGGGTTACGCATGGTGGGACAGATTCACAGACTGAGAGGACCTGCCCTCCTGTTGCCCTGTGTTCTGATTATGGTTAAATTGTAAGTATAAAATTTTAAAAGTTAGATATGATCCCTTTTACCCAAGACCCTGGTATTATTTTGTTCACATTTCACCTGTCAGCCTTCTACAATCAATAGTAGTATTTCAACTTTTAATTGTCTGGTTGTCAGTCAATAATGAAAAAGTTTTCTATAAACGGACTTGTAGATTATTGATCATGCTATCACAGCATGCTTAGCGTCAGCCGTGTAAGCTTGATGAATAAATAAATAAAGAAACAAACAAAAAAGCTCTTAATAGCACCTCAATAAAACTGGTTGACAAGATAAACAGGATCAACAAACCAATTTTGTAGAATCTTACATTAATTCGTTATTATGTAGGAGGTATAACAATTTAAAATCATCTCAATTAAACTGAATAGTTACTTATAAATACAAATGATGATAAATGTTTTATAAACAGTTGCACTTTATGTATGTTGCGTTAGTATTGAGTGATTCATGTTTTCAATGTGTTTATTATGTGTCTGCCAGTGATACTATTTTAAATATTCAACTTATATGTGTACTAAAGCAGATATATAAATCAATCAATAAGGATAAATAAATAAATCAATCAATAAGGATTGAAAGATGATGTAGTGACAAGGATTGAAAAGAGAATCTTACGCTGGTTTGGACATGTAGAAAGGATGAAAATAGAGTAACGAAATAAGTATACAGAGCGGATATGAATGGGGCCGTCGGTAGAGGGCGCCCTAGACGGACATATAGTGACCAGATTGGCGATATATTAAAGAAGGGCCAAATTCAAAGTACCCTTAACCGACGAGTATGCATGAAAAGATTGATGACTGTTGATGAAGCGAAAGAGGTATGTAGGAACCGTAGTAATTGGCGTTCCCTAGTCTCTGCCTACACCCATGGGAGACAGGCGTGAGGTTATGTATGTATATAAATCAATCTTATATTTCTATTTATCACCAGCAAGCTTCATACCATCTCAAACATTTTTTTTCTCACTTTTTTAAAACTCTCCTGACCTTCCACAAATAATTCAAGACAGAATTAGCCGAATCTATAGTGTCGTCTTTGTTGTTCGTCAATTCGCGCAGAGCAATTAATTTTAAAGTACAGTATGGAAGGATATACAATATACAGAAATTGATATCTATCCCTATTTCATGAGGTATATGTCAATCAATATGATCAGGTTCGTAAAAATAGATTACGCTATTTTTTCTATCAAATATGTATTTTATTTATTTTCAACTTCATACAAGAAGTGTGTACAGGTGGACTTAATGCCTTGGGCATTGTCTCCCAGTCAACCTTTAAGCAGTGCAGAGATGAAAGTAGCAGGTGATTTAAACCTTTATAAATAGACAATGTACCAGTATAATAATAACAAATCTCACAATCATAATTCATAATATTCAATAAACACTATACATAATGTACCATTGTACTTTATTCTACCATAGTATCTGTATTTCTAATAAAGTTATAAAATAGGCATTAAACCTATTCTATACGTAGGCTTTTCCGCTGTTTAGATAAGAGATTAATAAAATATCTACACTCTGTAATGATAGATTATTTTATCTAAGCCGCGCATTATAAGTGGAAATTAATAAAAACGACATGCTGGTAATGGGTAAACATAGTGGGCAGTTATTTTCACGAAAAAGTAGACTTATAAGATATTGACTCTTTACAGCTTTAACTGTGACATGAATTCATGATTGATTTATCATCCAGGAATATCCCTTATGTGTATATTAACTTATACACTCTAAGTATATGAATTCCTAAAGTGAATTATTGTCTGACACTCCTTCTCGCCTCACCCAGGCGAAAGAAGACATTGGTTCATTTTCTCCTCTAAAAAAAATAAATGGTTAGTTTAGATGATTTTTTACTTCTAGTTCTTCCAAGTTGCTTGGGGTCAAAGTCAAAGCATTTATTTCAATTAACCTAACTAGGCACTTTTTAAACATCGAATTGTATTGTTAATGGAGCTAGGTGCTCGTTCTAAAGAAGAACGATAAAGAAACTCCATCGACATTCTTTAAAAAAATATTTTCTTTATATCCTATTATCACTAAGTACTTTTTCTTTTATTATGTCATTCTTTATACGAAAATACGAAATATCATCTATCCATCTTTTCTTCACAGTCTTCTTATATCTAAACCTCCAATCGATTGTCAAGGTCTAGTTCACACGATTTTAAAATTTAATTTGTAACAGTTACATTAATCATGCATACATAATAATATATTATTTTTAGGTACCGTAAGTAGGCAGTTTTTTATAAGTGGTTTCAAAGCTGTATGACTAATCTTACTAATAGTTTTGGTGATATCTGTTCTAATAATAACTTAATTATTATACTCGTCTATCAACATTTTTATTATTTAAGTTAGCTTTACTTCTGTGGCTTTGCTAAGTAAGTAAGTGACGATTCTATGAGAATAGGTACAAGATTAAAAGGTAGCCTACATTTGGTACCTAATTACTTCCTGAAGAATAAGTTGTTTAAAGGAACTTAATTTTTTTTAAATTGGTTGCAGTTTTGGAGTTTATTTCAAACCTACTGTTATTTACCAAATCTTTAATCTTTTTAATCAAGTACTAGCTACTCCCGCGCGGAGCCCGTACTGCTCAGCTCCTATTGATCATAACGTGATGTTTTATAGCCTATCTATAGCCTTCCTCGATAAATGAACTATCCAACATACAAACAATTTTTCTTTATCGGACCAGTTTAGAGCGTTCAAAGTTTCAAACAAACAAACAAACTCTTCAGCTTTATATTATAATTATAATTATAACTAGCTACTTCTGCGCGGTTTGCGCGTAATACGTATGTCACAGGTAAAAATATTATATCTAAAATAGATTTCAAGTGTTGTTTGATGATGATGTGGTTTTTTATGGCATAAACCGGTTAACGAGCAGACGAATCGCCTGATGGTAAATAATCGGCGTCGCCCATGGACACCTGGATCAACAGAGGCGTTACAAGTGCGTTACCGGCGTTTTGGGGATTAGGAGTTTGAGGATAGTTGGGGATTAGGGTATTAGAGGAGAGAGAGAGAGAGGGGAGATTAGGGAAGGTTAATTGGGCTTACGGTAACCTCGTCGTGTATTTCGTCGTGTGAGTACGACGAAATACAACGCAAGCGTTGTTTCACGTCGGTTTTCTGTGAGGCCGTGGTATCACTCCGGTCGAGCCGGCCCATTCGTGCCGAAGCATGGCCCTCCCACACTTAATGTCGTCACATTTTAGCTTAATTCCAATTTTCGCTTCTTTTTGCTATAATAAGAGAAATAATCATCAATTTTGTTGCAGAATTGTTTTGCCAGTGGTTATGAGGGAGAGTGTAAGCGCGCTGAACGCTGGTGCAAATGAATCTGAAACTCTATCACTCTCTACGTACGCTTTCCTATATGGAACAATACCGACCGCGCCGGCAGTGTTCGTATTCTCGAACTTATATCAACTAGAAATCGACTTGGTAAGTTTCCTTACAAAGTAGAACATTTTTTAATCGATCGCATGCGTATTGCCTTGTCTAATCACAAATGTATTGTACGTGTATCAGCTTGTGTATAGCTAAATCGATTAGCCATTCGATTAGATCTGTTAGTACCTAATATGATTTTTTTCGGAAAGCTTATTGGATTTATCTTAGACGTGACTAATTGTTAGATTATGTTATCATGACGGGTTTTCCACGTGGTTTCTTATCTGTGTCACTAAACAAACCCGTTCAACCGTTATACTGTGAATAATAAGTAGACTTTGTAGAAATTCAATACATAATAATACTTACATCCATGTTAATGTAAAAATAATTTCAAGTTCATTCACAGATGCTCGTTATCTCTCGATAACTGCATAATTTATATTTTTTATGCCTTAATTAATTCTTAAATATGTTAAACTTGTGTAATACATAACGGATAAATTATTATTAATAGATTTTAATGTGATTATTGAAATAAATGATGTTTTTATTGTTTTTCATAATAGAGGTATATGATGGCTAAAATTAGTTTCCTGCCTATTAGATGAAACCGACTGATAAATCAGGGCTATTTTCCTTCTTTTGACATCAAAAACTTCACACAAATACCACGATACATTGAGTTGTAAATATTACATGATATTTAAGGCGATGAAAATTAAACCTGCTAGATTATTAAGAATGTCTAGGTATGTCTTAGAATTGTGATGATGTCACGTCCTCAACAACTTTTAATACTGAGACTAGACGTAGGTAATGAGCTACCTCGCGACAACGCTTCATTTCGAGTAGGTAGTTTTCTTTTTCTTATTTCGACAAAACGTCGATATTTAACCTATTAAATACCTAACTACCTATAGTTAGGAGACACTCTAAATTATTGATAAAGTTTTAATTAATCTATTTCCGTCTAGACTTTAGACTAGACTTAGAAAAATCGCACCTACTAATATTACAAGTGTCAAATTCTGGGGGATACCCTATTAGGTATCACAAAAGCACTTTAACTTATAAAATGTTCCCAGAGACGTATTTTCCCTAAAGTAAACAAGGTAAGTGCCTAGTGCCTGTCCATAGAGCGGCGGCGGCGCCAAAAACATTAGGGGGGGCCTATGAGGCGCTTACCTAGGGCGCTCTTTAAGTTTAATCCGCCTTTTACCTTATTACCTAGAATGTAGGAAACATACTATTCTGGGTTCTTAACTTATACATACATCAAATATTACCTGTTTCAGATGGCATCCTCAATGGTGATATGCACATTCCTGTCAGCGCCCATGATGTTCATGTCGGCACAAATGATAGCTATTAACAAGGACTTTGCAGACCAACTGAAGAAGTTTGGCTTCGACCTTTCTATAGTATCATTGATTGCTTCACTTTGGATACTGTTTGTTTTCATTGTGACTAAGAAATATAAACGGATGCCGCATCGACTGACTCTGTGCTTGATTGTGTCGCAGGTAAGAATTTGATTCTTGTTTTTGTTATTACTCAAATGCGCTGCTTATGAGAGTGACTTTTCCTTGTATACAATATTTGTAAACGCTAATACGATAATTGGTTCTGCACATAAATTGAACCTTTTTTTAAATATTTACGTCAAAATATCCTCATATAGGCAAATGAAGGAATCTGTCCTGTTGTAATTTTTTTCAAATTTGGAGTTAGGACCTTCATTCAGGGGGTGTTCTACTAGCTTTATTTTAACAAATAATTATGTTTTATAAGTATCACTTTTGTATACTAAATTTAAAGCTTGATGGGGTCAGCAATATCTAACTTATTTGAGAAGAAACCCCGAAACAATACCGGTATTTATTCTCCAAGATTGTTTTGATGTATCTTTGCTACGCACATTCTACAGCAAATAATATTTGTGTAAAATACTTACATTTTATATATTTTTCAGCTACTGTTGGCTATCAGTGTAGTATGGGGCGGGCCCCTCACTAACTACACTCCGTCCTGGCATGCGAGCGTGCAGCAAGCTCTGCGAATATTCAGCATGTACTCCTGTCTGCTGTGGACCTCTATGCTCTCTGTTGGACTTCTCATGTTACAGGTACACTTACTACAAAATGCTATTGACCTTCATAATTACGTGATAATATATGCATCTGCAATGTAAAACACCAAAAGGACAGAGGTGCTCACATTAGCTTTGGCAAGTAATATAAAGGATTCGATTATTGCCATATTCCCTATTACATGGGACTCATAACATAAATAGTAAAAAGTAGGTATTACATTGTACAGTGGCATAATGTACACCTCTGCCTACCCCTTCGGGGATAAAAGGCGTGATGTTATGTTAATGTTATTGCCATACCGACAACGATTCAAATCTATTATAAGAATTTCTAAAATAGAAAGCTCAGTTATAGTCATCGTGATTATATCAGCCAGAAGACGCCAACTGCTAAACTTAGGACTTCCCCGATCACTTCCAGAGCGCCCGGTTCGAAGTGACCTACTGTATCCAGTTATTATCAGGGAACTTACTCACTATCAGCATCAAACATTAGTTAGTCACAACCATTAGTCATAAAATATTATAAACAGTGCATATTCGATTCAGAACCAACGCCAATCAATATTAGTAGTACCTATATGTAGTAATGGATAAGCCATTTAGATATAATATCATTAAAAGCTACGATCTATTGCTAGATATACATAAGTACGTGTTGATCGGATAAGCTCGTTACTACGTCACGACCTTGCCATACGATAGTTATAGGTGTGGAAAAGTGGAAAGTAGTAGATAGGAAACTATGTATTATAGTTTCAAGACTTGTATTGTAGTAGATAGCATAGCGAACCCACTTTCTTTTATAGTTCAATAACTTCTACGTAAGTAAAAACTGTCTTCTAAACAAGTAATGTTACTTTGCGAAAAATTTCGTGTGCCAAACCCACATTCAAGGTTTTAGTAAATTAATACGTGTATTCGGTGTATTAAAAATTCATTGTCAAATAAGAACCATTATATAGAACCGTAAATTTTTATCCTTACTTAATATTATAAATCTGAAAGTGAGTTTGTTGTTTGTTCCGCTTTCACGCCGTAACTACTAAACCGATTGCTTTGAATTTTGCAGACGTAAAGTTAGAAGTCCGAATTAAATAATAGGGTACTTTTTATCCCGGAAACAGTTGATATTCCCGATTAAAAACAAAAGTGTATTGCTTTTAAAGATGGCGCTGTGTGTGTTGTTATAATTATGTCACATACGCTACTTTTTATCTTTTTGTGACGCGAGTGAAGCCGCGGGTAAAAGCTAGTTAATAATATAGACCAAAGTTAGTTATAGTCTTGTCTCTACAAATTCTTTGCAAAATGACAGAGATGGCGCGATTTTTATATACAACTTAAAATTGGGTAACAATTTAATATTCGGGCATTAGAAACATTTCAATATTAATTATTGTCTTTATTTCAGAGCCGTGGACCATGTTTCGTGGTGACACTGTGGCCGGTGTTAGGCTTTGTGGCATGGGGTGCGCCTGTGGTAATGGTCGTGGTGCTACTAGCGACTAAGGGCACCGGAGACTTGGACTGCAAGGCCACTGATGCGATACGACTCTGTTTACTTGTGTTCTGTATTACAGGTATGTGTTAACACGTCTGGGAATATAGAATAACACAATTATTTTAAAGTTCAAATTCATTGAATATAAACATATCTCATACATTTATTGATTGTAATTAATAGGTACTTATAACGGGTATACATAATAAATCCAAGACAAAGAGGGAAATTATTACTTTAAACATCCTAATAAATCCCAAACACAATATCTCTATTGTCAGTAATTTATCCAACCGATTTCTAATAACACTAGGGCAAAGTCGTGTCAAGGTTGTCATGTATTGTGTAGTAAATTAATATTGTTAAAGTAAATTTCGAAATTATCAAGTCTGTGGAAGTCGCTTGCATCTTTTTACCGATCAGAAAATAATTGATTCTCTGTAAAATAATGATTCGATTTTTTTAACCATACTATCCATTAAGGCCTTTCAAAGGAATATCAAGGTCAAAATTGGTTCATCTGTTAGCCTGCGCCAATGCCATATATCACACTTACAAGATTCATATGTTTTGTGTTTAAAACTAATACACTGCGTCTCGTTGGTTATAATATGAAACCGTAGTCAAGATAAATTAACTATCTATAATTAAAATTATTCTTTTATCACAGTAACCATCGGCTGTTTAATCCTGTACATAAGATTCCGACGTCGCAGCGCACAGTTTGCGTCGCTCTCCGCCGAAGTAGCTACCAACTCCAGTCCCCGGGAGGAGTCCACCAGTTTGATTGATAACGCAGAACCAGTCTCGCAAACACAGTCTATTGCCAATAATAGCAATGGTAAGTATTGTCTATCTCATTTTCATATTTTTCTTACTGTAAAAATTATGAATTTAACAGGCTGCGGCAAAAATATTAACTTGGCTGCCGTGTTGGTGATCCGCTTATTTGTCGTCCCATACCATAAACAATGAACGAATAAGAGAAAGAGATAACCCCTATTATATGGGACTCATAACATAAATAAATAGTAGGTGTTACATTGTATAGTAGCATAGCATAAAGTGCCGTAATGTGCACCTTTGCCTATCCCTTCAGGAATAAAAGGCGTGATGTTATGTAATAGAAATACATGCAGATAAAATACGTTTAATCTTATTTACATTGTATACAAAAGTTGATTGATATATCTATCCATTCGAAAAAATCTAGCAATACGATAATAAAAGTAGGCTGCGCAACATCGTTGCGACCGCGCACGCTGCTCATGAGAAAGAACTCCGCTGTGGTTCGAAACTAGTAGAGCTTTTCTCAGTATATTCACGTGAGTAACCCGGGATTTTTAGTTAATACGATAATCGACATTTATTTTTCATACAATAATGAACACAATGTTTCTAGGTTGTTACGGAACTATTACATCGTCGCCATCACCGCGCAGTCCAGGCAAGCAGTCAGGGTGCTGCTCCGACGATCCTAACTGTGAGAACGGATTGACTGCTTCACGCGACATTGAAGATATTGCTGATACCAAGTAAGTAGGTTGAATTAGTTGCTTATGGGAGGACGTGCTCCATCGTAGACCGCATCATCGCTTACCACAAGGCGAATAGTGGTGAAACGTCGGCCCAATAAATATAAAAAAAGAAAGTAGGCATGTGAGAAGATCGAGGAATAGATGGGTAGATTTATGGCTGAAAGAAAAAAAATATTTGTGTTAACCCTCAAAAAACTTTGCATAAATTATATTAGCTAGAAGTAGTTGTGTTCATTATTTTCGTAGAACCACAGGATTAAGTTAAGACATCAACAGTCCATGGCAGTTCACTTCTTCTACAAAACAGTGCTTTGTCATAATCTCAATACATGGCAAGTGAGTTGAAGATCGCCCGCACATTAAACTGTCAAACACCAAGCGGTCACCGGTGACCGCAACCTATTGTTCTATAATTGTGTCTACAAAACCGGTACTCGACGAGTTAAAAGACTTTTAAATGTTAATCAAAACACTGCCGGCCGGACGCTGTTAAATGTGTAGTCCTTTCGTCTGCTTTTAAGAGACATATGTGTTCAACTCAGCCTTCATTACATAACACACAGTTACTGTGTCACTGAATAAAAAGAAATATCGCCATCATTTGCCTTTTTTCCCAGGGATTGTGCCTGCCCACCATCTCAGAAGCACCGCTGCACGGAGCCGGGGGCGTGTCAGTACTTGAACGAGCTGGAGCGGGCGGCCGGCGCACTGGGACTATTACCGCCCGAGCAGACACGCGGCCGCGGCGGACAACTACTCAAACATACTGTGCTAATCATTGTGTACAGTCTCAGCATGTTTATTGTGAGTATCTACAGCATCATTTTTTCAACCCTAGTTCCTCCACTATAGGGATTTAACCTTTCCTGTACTTCTTCTTTTTATGACTAAATACTACTTTAGAACTCTGTACAATATCTTTCCTTACATAATATGTACACATGTTAAAATAAAGTCTCTACTAATCTAACATTCCTTTTAAGACTTTTTACCAGTACATTAGAAGTCAGTCTTACATGGTAACAAATAAAAAATACTTACTATGTAATTTATTCTAGGGCATTACCTACACAACTTGGCGCATGATGTTGAAGGATGAGAGTGGAGTGTTCGTGGAGATAGAGTTTCTGGACATAGTGGCCAACTATGGACAGGCATTGGTCATGTTCATACTCTTCGGACTGGACCCCGAAGAAATACTGATACCCACAGTCCGATTCTTGAAGACTAAATGGTAAAGTATAAATTTTGTATGAAAAATATATGTATCAAAATAAATAATAAATAAATATATATCAAAATATATTTTGTATAAGGTATCAAAGTTTTAAAGTAACAAAATTGTAAAAAATGGCAATAATCTTTATATCTCGACACTATTCTTGTTGAATACAATACATGTAGATCACTATCCGTATATTGAATGTTTTATTTTGTTTTAGGTATGGAGGAGATACAGTGGTTCTGCCGTCCATAGAAGACCTAAGTTTTGAAACCAAGCATGTTTGTGATCAGTTCATCACACATCACCTTGATCGCTGCAAGGAGGCTATTGCTAAAGATACTAGGTAAATATCACAATTAAGATACTTAAAAGTGTATTACAATAATTTACTGGTAATAACTGTTTCTAGTCTAAAATCTCACCATGAAATGATGAAACATCAAACAAACTTTAGAAACTTTTATATCAATAGCTATGTATTGTGTCAAGCAAAACATGATGGCTATGAAATGTGTCGCGTATCTCAACTTCAACAAATAAGTAGATATATATATCCTAACTATCGGACTTCGGAGAATAAAAGACAATGTAATTATTACAGATGGCGCATGCGCACATATCGTGGTGTATTCCGAGGCTCATGCCTGGTTCGCTGGCTAATCAACTGCGGCCTAGCAAAAGATGAACATGAAGCAGTACAATATGGCCGACACCTACTCGACGGACGACTCATATCACACGTGAATAACGCCCATCATTTCTCTAATTCACCTCTATTGTATACGTTCAAGTAATCATCCGAGTATTTAGTATTAACATCTAAAGGCATCTCGCATATTAGACGGCCATGATCACTGATCAGTGGCTGCAATCACCATATTAACAAAAGACTCTACTATGAACGAAGCGCGACGATCACGACCAGTCGTAGTCGTGGCGTCTAATGCGCGTGATGTCTGAAACAGATGAAGTGTAGAGTATTATTTTTGTTAAATGTCTTTTACACTTCATTTGATTTCCTACTGCTTGGAACACACGACCATGGATATGCCAAAACTGAAATATTATATTCCTACATTTTACCATATAATTGTACTTATACGAGTATAAATAGATATCCAATTATACATTGAGATTTCATATCTCCACAAAATATAATTACTGTGATAGCTTCACAGACTCGATAAGTTAAATAGGAAAATGTCTCAAATTATATTATGATTTATATTATCAACATTAGGTGCTTCTTAAATATTGGTATAAACTTTTCTGGTGCTGAAGATGACCAAAAAATTTAGCTAATGGTTTCTAATATATGATCTCATTAAGGAAAAAACTGAATTTAGGTGTAAGCGTCATCCAAATACTAGGTATCATTGTCTGAGTTTACAATCATACTGTTGTAATCTGAAGTTTTATTTATTTGCGGCTATCTAGACATAGTTTATAATAATCTCGTTTTATCTAAAAATCATGAAATGGAATACGGATTTGTATATGTAGCCAAATTCTATGAAATTGTGTAATATGAAAAGTGTAAATTTGAAGATCATGAGTTGGTTAAAATATTACTAAACTCCTTATCATAAAGATATAAGAAATAAAATTATATAATTTTAGCAAAGTCATAGACGGAATTCTGATTATAACCATCAAAATTGCAAAATAGTAGTGTGAGATTTCTACTGAAACAATTAAGATCTTTTTATCAAAGAATCTGATATCTTCACATATTGTGGGAGGATTTTTTATCAATTTTAACTACACATACATACATATTTCATACTACCTGTTAATGAACTTTAAATATTTTATTTTATGATAAAAAGTACACAGACTGCTACTTTTGGTTGCATAGAAACTTGATAATAATAGAATATTATAATCACTATGTTTTGTCTTGATTGTGTCCAGTTTATTGCGGCAGGCTCAGGCGGATATCAGATGGATACTAATATATAATTACATATACATGAAAGTGTAGTATAACTAAACCTTTCTTGATATTACCTAATGATTTATTTATTGTTCAACCAGCAGTCTGTTTTGTGTCTGTGATGAGACGCCATGAACAAAGTGTTTAGTATAAATTAGGTAATATTTATTATTTGTATACCTATTTTAGTTTACTTTAGATGCTAATAGTAAATGTGCGCAAAATATTTGTGATGTTCGGCTGTTATTGTTTGCCCTTGTTATAGTGTTAAGAAGAATATCGTAAATTATAATCTTAATGTTTAAGGATTATTAAATGTATTATCGTATTTATATTATTATATTGTTGTATTTTCTGATTGAGCATAAAAAAATGTTAAAAAAAAATATATTTGTTGCATTACATTATAGTGGTTTTTTAAAATAATTATCACATTTCACTTAAATAACTAAATAATGAAAACATTAGGGTTTTGTTAATTATTATGTACATTTATTCAGCATTTTCTTCTTCGTTTTCATCTCCTCCATCATCTGGTTCCGGGGCTTCCCACCAAGTGAGTAGACCCAGCCCGGGTTCATTTATACCACCAACTATTCTGTAAGGCGCCACTGTCTGTATTGTGCATTCAGTACCAGGAGGCCCAGTGGGTAAACTTTCTTCAAAGGTTTCACTCGTAACCCGAAATCTTATCGACTCTCCTGTAGAAAAAAAAAATATCACTACTAGGTATACAAAGTCAAGTTCTTTCAACTAATTGTCAATTTATGTTGTTGATCTCAATCATTAAAAGATGTGGGATGGTCTTTTAGAGAAACTATTTGTTTGTTTTTTTTTGAATACAGTGCAGCGCATTACTGTTTTATATTCATGTAGTATAAAACATTAACCTCTTTTCTGTCAATATATGAGACAATAGAAAATTAAAAAGCATTGTCTCGCGACATACCAGAGGTTAAATCAAATATTCATTTTCAAAACGATGCCTTGAATAATACCAGGTTGCAAGCGTTCATAGGCCACGGTAACCACTTACCACCATGTGGGCTGTGATTTTTTTTATATAAAAAGAAAATTTGTCTATTACCTGAGTCCATAAATAAGTCATGTTTTTCTCCATTTTCTATTGGGTACTCCCACACCCAAGCTTGATCTGTTTCATCAAATCTAGAGGGGTGTTGTAAAGCATTCACTGGTATTACTATGTCATCAAAAAATCCAAGAGTAACTGAAAAGTATATAAATACATGATTTTAAATTATGATCAGCATTATACATACATTGTCTAGACTCAACTTCGATATTAACTCGTCGAGTACCAGTTTTGTAGACACAATTATAGAACAATAGGTTGCGGTCACCGGTGACCGCTTGGTGTTTGACAGTTTAAAATCAAATTCATACCATGAACACCTTCCCTGCTACAATTCTTTATCTTCCCGATAAGTATTTCTTCAACTACGGGTCGGAACACAATAAATCTAAATTTTACTTCTGTATGGGATGAACCATCCCCAGGAAATATGTACGAATTCCCAATATCTATGATATCATACAAGGCTATGCATAGTCCTACATTTAACACTACCTGAAAAAAAAACATGAAATGAGTATATTGAATAAAAAATAAGAGGTTATTAATCTCAAGTGTGTTATTTTTATGCCGATATTTGACTACCTTTAGTTTTGTTTATTCAGTAATATAATAAACCACACAAGCTAAAGAAAGAAGAGGTTAGGAATAAATACTTACTTTATTGGCTAGCTTCCTGTTAAGTAATGTTGTGATTGATTCGGTTAAGCTTTGATGGAAATGTTCTGGTGTAATTCTGACCACATCCTTCATTTCAGCCAGTACAAACATGGTGATTTTCTGATAACAAGCAAATCTTAGTTCATTTCAAAACAATAACATTCGCGGTCTAACAATTAAAATGACAAGCCGTCTGTTGACTGTTGTCGCTTGTGTTGTCAGTGTGATGTGATGATACATAGACTACAGAGTAAAGTAAGTGATGAATTCGACTCGACTATCTGACTATTTGATATGAAATCTTACTTATCTGTTGGTAGCACTGACATTCACCTTTATAGTCGTTCATTCATGTTCAATCAATACTTCAAAATTTCAAATCACTTTTCGTGCGTCATTCGTGGTCATATTCATTTTCATTCAGCATTCATGTATAAAAAAGTTCATCAGTCAGGAAAGAAATTCTATTCTGTTGCTTTGTTGTGATTGCGATTTTCATTATAGATTTTGATAAATCAGTAATATATATTTTATATTTAAACTAAATCCTCCGAGCCTACGACGCCAAATATTGAGTTTTTTATCTTATAAATTCCTGAACCGTATTATTGTCAAAATTCTATCCTTGTACTGGTTTGTGTGTGGTTTCAAGCAAGAAGCTTCATCTCATCTTTGAGGAGGGGAATCTTGTCACGATGATAGGTTTGCACTGTTATGTTTATTAGACATATTTATAAATATTATTTTAATTTTATGGTGTGGTGCTTAAAATTGTCTACTTTTTTGCACAAACATTCACTATTTTTTTTCCATTCAGCTAACAACAGAACAGATAGATCCAGGTCGCCTCACAGGACCGACAATGTTGGTCGCAGACGCGATAACAAAACTCAAGATTCTACTAAATCAATGGATAACATGCCCAATGTCATGAATCCTATGATGATGACCAACATGTTTCCACAAGGTACTTCATAGAGTTATAACACTAACAATATACTGATCCATTCAAGTAAAACTGCAGTGTTTATAATAAGCACATCATATCATAATATTGGTATTACAGTTTAACGAACTTATTACCATTATGGGCCAGTGAGTTGGAAGTTCATGTTTTGTTTTATAGACAGTACATAAAGAAATATCACTAGCCCATAATGGAAAGTACAACCCTTAATTCAAACAATTATCATGTCAATTTACTTAACTCGTTGAGTATCATCATTATAGACACAATTAAAGAACAATAGGTTGCGGTCACCGATGTCCGCTCAGTGTTTGACAGTTTAATTAGTTATTTATTGACTTTTATAATAACTATCGTGAGACATACTAAATTAAGTAAAATCGCGGGTTACTCACGCGAATATACTGAGAAAAGCTCTACTAGTTTCGAACCACAGAGGGGTTCTTCCTCATGAGCAGTCTCAGTATACTGTACCTGGCATATCAGTCTTTACAGATTTGTTGGTAACTAGCTAGCCCAGCACACCATCCGTACCATCATAAACTTTTATTTCTTACCTTTTAAACCTTCAACGGAAGTCCACGAACATTTCAAAATTAGCCAAATTATTTTAGCCATTCTCGAGTTTTAGAAAGACTAACAAATGGAAATTCATTTTTATTTATAATTGAAGATGAAGATAGATAGATTAGAAAATAAGTAGGTAATGTCAAGAAAGTACTTTTTTAAATATAATATTTAATGTTTTAGCTAACATGATGATGGCCAGTGGAATGTACCCCAACATGATGCTGCCTGGGCCAATTATGGGTGGAGGCATGATGCCTGGCCCAGGAATGGAAATTATGCAAGGTCCTGGTATGGATATGGGCCCACCACCACCTATGGATATGTCAGGAATAGGAGGTCCGCCTATGGCATCCGCACCTGCTCCACCTATGGAAATGGGAATGATGGGTGGAATGATGATGGATCCCAGCATGATGGGAATGTTTTCTAACATGAGTGGAGATGTACCTTCTATGCAGGAAAAGAAAGAATTAATTTTTAAGCATGCTAGGCTTTCTCCTCCTGACTCAGGCACTCCTCAACCTCCCCGTCGAGGTAAACCTCCTGGTTGCCGAACTATATTTGTAGGTGGGTTACCAGATAAAATTAGAGAAAACATTGTGAGAGAAATTTTTGAAACTTATGGAAGGATTCATACTTTGAGATTGTCAAAGAAAAATTTTTGTCACATTCGTTTTGATAGAGAAGAATGTGTAGATCAGGCAATGATGATATCCGGGTATCATATTAAATTGATAAATATTAGTGACAATGATGATATGAATGAAGATGATGATGATGATGAAAGTTCAAATGCTACATCTGGTTGGTTACATGTCGACTATGCATTGGTGAGTCTTTTGAAATTGTTGTATAAATATCATAATATTTTTAGTATTAAAAGAGAGAAAATGATAAAATATGCAATTCAACAAACTGTATTTGTTGTCTATGTTCTTTTGTATTTTTATTTAATAAGTTTATGTACTCAGGAGTATATCATTATACAAATTATCTGTATGTTCCAGAGCCGTGATGATCAGAATGATTTTGAGCGGCGACAGAGACAAGCTTTACGAGCACAGCAAGTACAGATGCAACAGATGAATGTTCAGCAAGAAATTGTACACCGCAACATAAACCCATTTGTGGATCTAAGGAGAAGATCACCATCACCACCAAGTAGAGTACAACCTTATACTAATGCTTCTATGGTGCAGCTAGCGGAAAAACTAAAAAATGAGGAACAATTCGCGGTGACTTTACCAGTAAGTTTACTAAGAACTTTTAACTATTTCTTGTAAATTGTGTGAATAACATTACATTAAATAATTTGAACTGTTACTAATGTACAAATTATTATTATTTATAGACATTACTTGCATGGTTGGAACGAGGAGAATGCTCCAAGAAAAATGCCAATCAGTTTTATACAATGATTCAAGCAACAAATACACATATACGCAGATTATTTAATGAGAAAATGCAGGCTGAAGAAGAACTACAGAATTGCAAGGATCGCGTCAAGAACCATATAGCAAGTGTGATTGAACAACGTAAGTTGGAGTGTACTCTATATCAAAGTTTTCTCAATCACCATGTCTGGTGAAAGTGTGAAATCAGTCTTAACTTTCTGGTTAATTCAGCATTATTTAAAATATTATTATATTTTGAAGGTAAGGTGGTCATAATGTTTTCTGGGATGAAAACATTGATGTAGAAGTTTAATCTTTTATTTTATGTTTTAAACATCCTTTGAAACATAAAATATACTTTTATAAAATCTACACTGTAAGATGCTTTAGTTAGACATTCAAGAATTAAAGCAACTTTTAGAGTGTGGTATCTCAAATAATTTTAACAAATATTTTGAAATGGTCGCTCTCTAATATCTTCATATGGAGTAGCCAATAACAAATGGATCGCCTCCTGACGACCACGCCTGATGACCTCCAGCCATAAGTATAAAATGTAACAGACAGAAAAATGGGTGCTTTTGTAAGTGAATGATGTTATGACAATTTCATTTTATCTTTTTTCTGCGTTTCAAGTGATGTTACTTTCCAAATATGTACAGTATTCAGATTAAGATAAAATGAATTGTCAAAACATATTGGGTACTTGTGTAATGACATGTCACAAGAACAAGACACATCTCTGTAACGCGAGGTGCAGCGCGTGCAACATAGTCAACAGTCTCGTCAACCTCGCATGCGATAGGTAGACGTGTAATGCTGCGACGAATATGTACGCTGACTAAGGGACGACTGATCGATCGAGAATTACGACGGTATGTTTTGGTCGCGAGACCAAAGGCGGATCTCTTAACATAATTTTGTGAACCTCAGTCGAACAGGTGGCGAAAGTGTTTGCCGCAGCGTCTCATCAACGTGTATGGGATCACTTCACAAAACCGCAGAGAAAGAACATTGAGACGTGGCAGAAAATGACACAGGTACTTCTCCAGCAATTGTTGATTTGTTAGGACACAATGAGACTGTCTAGTAAATATGTTTAACGTAATTGTTCGTGGTATTCCTGCTGTTCATTATAATATTGTAAACCTTAGACATGATATAATTTAAACGCCTGATTTGAGTAAGTATACATTTTATTTCAACTAACTGGCGCTGGTTCAATAGTGTAATGAATGGCGAAAATTCTAGGTGACCAGGAAGACAGCGGAAACAGGTAAAGAGAAGATGTAATGTATTTCAGGATAACGATAGCGACAACGCCGGCTTGCAACCTCCGTGGTATAGCTACAATCATAGTCTCTAAACATTCACTTGTGGATTTACAACGTTTAGTTGTTATTATTTATTTAATTATAATTTTTTCGCTATACAAATATAAATATTTCAGGAGTTTAGTTCACTAAAAGAAGAATTTCTTGAAAAGTTTGGGGACGATCGCGATGGCGATTACAATGGCTTGAGTCGAGCCTCAGAAAGTGAAGAATTGCAACAGTTAAAAGTATGTTCTTCTTCTGTCATAAAATTGTGCTATGGATATATTCCGTTAATTAATATGCAAATGTACCTAATATTAATTTCTTTTGCTTCAGCGAGAAAATGAAAGTCTACAATTTCAATTGGAAGCATATAAAAATGAAATTGAAGTCGTAAAGTCCGATACAATGAAGGAGATGGAGAAATTCAAAGCACAGTTTATTGCACGACAAGCCTTGCAATGTGCACTGGACAAAAATGTAAGTAACATTTTTTCTGATACAAAACCTAATCTTATTCTGAATCGTCCCTTATTAACTAAACTAAATGTTATAGAAACTTTTTTAAATCGCTAGATTTAAGCTATGACATAATCAACAAAATTACTAAAAATTACGGGTTACACACGTGAATATACTGAGAAAAGCTTTACTAGTTTTGAGCCATAGATTGAAGCTCATGAGCAGCATGCGCAGTCGGGGCGATGTCGTGCAGCCTACGAGAATCAGTTATCAATTATCATATTATCACACATTCGTGTCATTGTTACATATTGTCACAAAAATTAACTATCTACTAAACTTGCAGCCGCCTCTGCCATCGCCGATTGTAAAACCACCTCCACCGCCACCTCCGCCGTTGCCTGAAGATGTGCACTCATCAGGGCATTCTAAGGAGACTGTCGAAGCAGGCTGCGGAGAAGCCAAGCTAATTGGCGTTATGTCGGCGTTCTTACAGGTAAGCAATTTTAGTGTTTTACATAATATTTAAAGATGTTTTAAACGACTTTCTTTGATACACAGGCCAATGAAGATAAGAAATAATATACTCTATAAATTGAATCTAAATTGAGCTATGGTTACTGACTGAATATAATTTTCATCCAGGTACACCCACAAGGGGCTAGCTTGGACTACGTAGTATCGTATGTCCGCGCCCTCTTCCCACAGGTCTCTCAAGCTACAATACATCATGTGCTGCAAAAACACACGGATGTCTTCGAACGTACCACAAGCGGAGTCGGCGCTAACATTGAAAATAAATGGTACTTTATTGCATTCAACAAAATCATCAATAATGACAAGAAAACTTAAATGTAAAACAGACATTTATAACCTTATTTGCATATCAAATACCTATAGTTTTTGTAGTGGTTGTAATTAATCTATGTATGTGGGTATTTAACGCAATAATCAAGAACAAATTAAAACTGTATTATGTACAAATTAAATTAGCAATTTTCGCTACCAAAAGATTACTTTTTGTAACATAATGCAAGTGTCTAGATAATTAAAGAACGAAGTTTGTCCGTTTCCCCTAACAATTAATTATTATAATTAAACAAAGAAAACTATGAATCCTAAAAGGGTTGATTATTTATAAATCGATCTGGTGGTAACTGTTAAGATTACAAATAGTAATTATTTTATTAAATTTATATTTACAGTACATAAAGTATTTTTTAACAACTTTACCCCATTTGAAAGGAGTGTGGTTTCTCAAAATCTTTATTACCTACCTACTAAACAAAAGATCAAAATGTAGATTTAAGTTTATTTTTCGTATTACGTGAATGGATACAAGGGAATTTCGAAGACCTGATTAAAAAGGCATATAGTGTGATAAATTATTATTTTTTATTAAAAATGTACTAGATTTGTTTAAGAGTCTATGTTCCAAAAATTCTAAGTATTCAACGTCATATGAAGCTAACTTTGTGACTGATAAGTATGTATGTAGGGGTTATATGTCTTAACTAAGTGACTTAATAAACTGTGTTTTAGTATGTCGTGTTTTATTAAATAGGTGAAAAATATCCAGTTAACACCTCTGTAAATCAGAGATTAAAGAGATTCTAGATAGTTCTCAATTTTCAAATTAGCTCTCCGTTTTCTGCTGCGCTTGTAAGTCGTTGATAGTTTGCATATATTCTGTGGTGGCCTCCTCTAGATCTCTGTCGTTCATCGAAGGATCAGTTTCCACGGCCGGTTCATTTGCGTTACCACCTTGGCGCATTTTTAATCTCAACTCTCGCATCCGAGCTTCTAATATACGTTCTCTTTTGTTTTCACGATCTAAAACCTGAAGAAATTTAATTATTTTTGGTGCCTGTTCGCTAATTTGGTGAAATATATTATGAAACCCTTGTTTGGTATTTCTTACGTGTGTTAATAGTTGTTTATCGTTTTTGTCTGCTGTACCAAGATTTTCTGATAATTCAGCTAAGTAGACTGTTCCTTTACTGCTACCACATGCTACCAGTAAGCCCTGAAAAGAAAGTACAATATGTAAGAATATATTTTTTATATTTTTATGTTTCTTTTGTATTAAATCTTTCGATAAGTGTAGAGGGTTACGAACTCCTTCGTGTGGTCGTAGACGAAGTAAAGGTTCATCACAAAGCTGTGCTGTTACCAACGGGGCGCTTCTTCTTCGTAACAAATCCCAACAAGAAAGGCATCCATCCCACTGTGTGACCAGCATCAACGAAAACCTGCAGAAATGAAAGTTATGAAGAGGTAATGTTTTTTCTTTTTCTAATATTTGGATAATAATTAATGATGAGGTAATAGTGTCACCTGATAGGATTCCATGCACCATCAGTGAGTTTCGTTCGATGCGAATATGTCCACAGAATTGCAGATTCACGACAGTCTTCGCTCCACACGCGAGCCGTCCAATCTCCTACTGTTAGAAAGTTTTTCACGAATGTCGGGTTCCTTTGTAAGGCGTATACAGGACCAAAGTGTGCTTCATACTAAACAAAAAACAAATACGTGAGAATGAAACCAACATTTATACATAAATCTATCCGAAACTGACCTTAGTGGGAAGCTTTTCTACAGCATTTTTCCCTTTTCGATTACCTCCAATCACTAAACCAGTTTCTGTCCCAACCATGAACCTAGGAAAATTACATAAGACTCATTATCACGTGTTACAAAACTTTTATGAATATTATATCATCATGTATTTCCATTGTTTACCGCGTTGGTATCGTTGGCTCATATTCAAGTGCTGATATTCCAATGGCGTTATCAATGGACGGTGTATCAGTTACTGCTTTTACGATATCTATAATCATTGAGTCTGTAGGCTCACTCATATTCCGTGTATCCCACCTGGAAACCGAACAATTGATGTAATCTTTTCGCTTTATTGCTTGATTTGTATTTGCCTACTTAGTACTTATTTACTTTATACTTGCCATTTGACAACACCATCTGGTGATGAAGAGAAAAATTCAGCCCCTATTTTTGAGTTTATAAAGAGCACATTTCGAGCTATGTCTCGATGGGCAACGTGAGGTGGGCAAACTCCAGCGGGATCTCCACCTTTCCTTGTATCCCACCATCCAACCTATGAATACGTCAGGAAATGTGAGAAAATACATTTCATTGTCTTTTTTTAGTTTCGGTTCTATGGACCTTTGCCTACCTGTCCATTCATCATTCCTCCGATTATAAGATGTGGATCTCGAGGATTGTATATGAGATCCAGCAAAGGTTGGGGTGGTTTTATCACCAGCTCAGGTGCATTGGCATTCTCTACAAACAAATAAATGTTTTAGATTCCCTCCATTTTCTTAGCTTAATTATATCTAAATACTTAAACAATCTATTTTCTCAAATAAATACCAATGTCCCAAATGTAAGAATATTGTGGATTTCTAGAATTCCTCGTAAGCTCGATATCTGCGTGTGCTACTGCTAGTTTGGCACCTCCGTCTGCTTGCCACGACAAAGATCGGATCGGACGCCTGCCATCCGGTTCACGGTACACGTTGACTGTATGACAACCACTGTTTTCTACTGGTGGTATAGCTGGTAGTTCTGTGTTGTATGTCTCGTACATATCTACAGCATTATTTTGTAGGATATTGTGTTCCATGCTCTGTGGAACAAAAGTTATTTCAACATAATATTATATTCCTACTTACATTTATTTATTCTCTTTATTAACACTCACATGACCTAAGTGCATAACTGCATGAATATAAGCATCGTCCTTCTCGATTTTCCTTCGATATCTTTGTGTTGCTTCAGGATCATTCATATTGATGTCTTTAGGCCACCCACCCTCAACGTGGCTTACACCAGAACTTGTGTATTCTGCTCTAAATTACGTTGACAAAGATTTCACAGATTATTATCGACAAGGATAATTTTGTGGCATTTCAAAGAGTCAAGAAACGTTACCTATTTAACATTTTACAGAACGCACGCTAACTTACCTTACAGAATTAACCCAATGTTCAGACATAGTCCCTGTGTTTTGGATAGCACAATGCACCGGATTACGAAGAATATAATCCGGGTATTGTGCTGGATTGTTTGGGATGCTAACTATCATTTCAGGCCCATGATCTTCAAATAACGTTTGTCTTCCAAATTCTTTTCTTCGTTTCTTGTATTCGTACACTAGTTCTACTTTTTCCGGCTTTTCCATGATAACGTTTAGTGAGACCCAATGACGCTAAAAGCACAGACTTGGTGGTCTTCGTTGAATCGATAAACTCTCGAGGTTACTACGGCGATAAACAACTGTGTGGTCTTTTCTACTATCTTTTAATATATTATTTACACTTATACATTATATCTTACCATATATAAAATAAATAAAGATAAGGGCTGTAGATTTAGACGCGTTTCTATGCGACGGTTTTGCATTAAAACCGTATTTAGCATCTTAAGTAATTCTGCGCAAGCCAAATTAAAATAACTGAGTGGCTAGTTTACTCTTAGTTTTATTTTAATAAAGAAAATTCAGGCGTTGTCCTGTTATTGACAATTTAATAGAGCGGTATTGGATCAGCTTGTGTGGCTCGTCTCAGTGACAGGACGATCAGGCGAGGTGGTGAAGCTCCTAACTTCACGGTGCATTGCTCCAAAAGAATCGCCCAACGTACCGCTGACCTATGCTCTGATGGCATGGCTTTTAACTGCTGTATCTGTAATACGTATACTTTAATTTATCGAGTTTTTCAACTGATTTTCCTACTACTGGAAGATGTGACTAATAACAAAAAAATATTCTTTTATAAACTGGGGATTGATGACCCCTCTTTTTTAACAGTTGGTAATTTAATGTACCTTCTCCCAAGTGCAACACACACTATTCTGAAGATCGCATCAACATAGGTTCAGCCAATCGCGTGATAATCCCGCACAAACATACATCTCCATCTACATACATACAAGTCAAACTGAGAACCACATTTTTTCGCTTTCTATAGTCGGTTAAAAATACTTCAGCAGCGCAGTGATATTTCTTGATTGCAACATCATTTTTGGTGAGCCATCCTCTTATTCTTTTGTGCCAACCCAAAAAGACGTCAGCAACTTTTCAGAAGGCGCAAAAATGTTCATCAGTCAATGTACAGCTAGGTGTATGAGTTACCTTAGACGGCTTATCTACTTACTGTATATCCCAAAGTGTCTTCGAGAACATTGATAGGAAGTCGAGCAGTCAACTCTCCAGTGTGATCAGCGAAACGCACCCGAATATTTTCTTCAGGATTATTATCCCTATAAAATAACGTTAAAAAATATTCATCGCTTAAAATGCAAATAAAAATGATGATGATTTAAAGCATACAATTTGTCAAGCTCATCCAAATCCAGGTGTGTAAGTAGTGCGTGGAGTGAGGCACAGAATGGCGCTGCGCCTGCGACTCTGTCACGTATTTGTGCCACAGACGCTGCGCAGGAGCGCTCACCACTCCACGCTGCCCAAGCCGCTGCTTCTCCACCACCTAAAGTTGGTAGGTACTCGTTTGTATTATAAATTGACTATTGAAAAAATACTAATTAATTTGAAGTACAAATGTTACAGGTCTTACAAAGGCGGTATTTATGTTATGGTTAGATAAATATTGGTCATTTATGCCGCTTACTTCGGTTTATTAATAAACATGACTAAAATAATAAAACAAGGACAACCAATCTATGAGATTAAAGCAACTGATAAGTTTGTGTTCATTGATTGGTACCCAGTCTGGGAAGATGATGTAACATCGCACACAATGCACGTTCACATAGGTACGGTTATCTAACCGCTAGAGGACTTGATTAGTGGATAGCAGAACTAGTGTTATCCGAATATCCGATACAAGCTAAACACAAGTGCGATTCTGTAATACATGTGTGTTACGAATACTACGAGTAACAACTGTTATCAAATAGTTTGCAAATATGCCTTGGACGAATATCTACTGTAAATGCTAATAAGAACTACCTTACTCCACTGTTTACCAGTTTCGTTAACAGTCCCTACTAATATGGTGTTACCTGGTATTGCTATTTAGGTACATCCAGGTGCTATTCGAGATTGAATTATTGCTGAACATTTAGGAAATTCAAAATACCTCCATTAATTAAAAACAGGGTACATAGGTACTTTGCTCAACTTGAGAAATGAACCCACTCATTTGCGACCACTCGACTCACGAGGCAATTCGTTTAAGAGCAATAAAAGCGTGGACTGAAATATTGCGCACCAATTTAAATACCTACCAATTGACCTTCAATTGAAACTTACAATAACCTAAACGTTCTCGGACTCCTTGCCTTGACAAACCTATAGGTGAAAACAAAACAAAGAAATAAATGTGCTAATTTTGGCTAGCATACTCACATGTAAATATTATTGTAAGTAGTTGCCTACCTACCCACCTACGAGATTATGTTTATCTTCCGTTACAGACATGTGAAATTCTGAATAAATATTACAGTATCATGTAATCATTTTTGTTTACCGAAACAGGCGGAGCTTATCGTAATGATAAATACACAAAAATGAAAATAGAATACTTAGTATCAGATAATCGCTAAAGTTAGAGTAGTGACTCACGCGCCGTAGACTGGTTTCGTATATGCAGCCTAAGAGCTTCTGCGTCTGCTGTATGGGGCTGATGGGTGATCACGGTTTTGGCACAGACTTGCACGCTGACTGCCCTAGATCGCCAAGATACACGAGCATCCGCTATGAATAGCACGCTTTCTAAAGGACGCCACTCATCAGCTCTAAAATGCAAGTATTTTTTAAAGTGCCAGCTTTGAAGAAAGATAACTGCGTTACATAAAGAGGTAAATACTTATGTGTAGTCTGTAGTTAGTTTATCGACCTCTAGTTGTAATTATACGCCCGATAGCATTATTTGCACTGTGCGGATTATGACAATGTTATATTTGTCTTTATTGAAATATTAATTAAGTGCCTAGATATTTATATTTATTTATAGACCTTTGTATGGTATCGATGTCAAAAATATCCAAGTTAACGGAAGCTGGCGTCGTGTTGTCTATTATCTCCACTCCTCGCACCGACATGTCTACACCTTCAAAAGTAAAATATCAAGTAGGTACCAATTTGTGAAATCTTTAAAAAATATATAAAAATATATATTTTCAGAAGACTGGGTTACCTACCAGTTTTTGTTTTTATAGATTTTGCAGGTTTTATGGTTTTCACAACTACCAACAAGTCCACGTAAACATTATTAGACGCATCTGTAACGGTTTTCAAAATAATTAGACCCTTTGCTTACGCAGCACATTTATAAACACGACTGTATGAGCAAAACTGAAGACAGTTTGCTTGTGTTTATTTTACTGCATTATGTAATCCATTTTATTAAGTATTAAAATTATTTCAACTAACTATTACGCTACAATACAAATACAATAGATGTAGTACATTGTGATACCTAGGTGTAGGTACCTACTTGAGCTATCTCTATTGTTTTGTAATATCGATAAAGCTTATTACGTCTTATTAGGTAGGTACCTACTTAGATGTCATTTACTATGCACTTTCTAGCAATTTTCAGAATAGCAAGGTTAGTTAGGGACTTCGTGTTCATCATTAACGAATATTGAAAAATTTAGGATTTAGTACTAAATCGTGACTGCATTTACATCTGTAGATATACACAACAATCAATAAATCGCAGACGAAGAGTCATTCTGTCTAGAATCGAACCTGGTAACTTGTCAAAAACTAACCTGGCAGTTTCAACACTTCAGCAAGCCCGTAGTATCCAGAACATTGTTTAGTTGGTATGTGAAGGAGCGGTAAGTACATGCTAAAGGCGTCTCCGCTGTGGATGCTGACATCTGACATACCTTCGTTTAAGCTCAAGTAAAACGGTGAAGTCACCTATGTAAAAACGATTAGATAAGTATTTAGATAGAACAATTAAATACAAAACATTAAAATATGAGATAGATTGGAATTACCTGAGGCCTGTATGCTTCATTATCACCAGTTTTAACGCAAATTTTTGGTGAAGTGATTTCAACTGTAAAAATATAAATTAAATATGAATCTAGTTAAATAAATGGTACTACCTACTGTCCTGCAATAGTGTACTGTTGGACTTACCGACATCCCCAACTAAATATCTTTCATAAAAAGTTAAAACAAAATATTCAGATCCCCAAACGTCGACATTGATCGTGTCTACCTCTGAATCTCTTACAGTGAAAGATGTGACCCCTCTAGATTCATTATTTTTCTTCTTGGATCCCACCGTACGCGGACTGTTCTTAGCAATTATAATACCGATGATCAACGCGTTTTTTAAGTTAATATTCAAATGATTTAATCTAACTTTTTGAACTCCCGCCATTTCTCCGAATTCTGTTTTACTCTTATTCTAGTTACAGGCAGTCCGCCGTCCGAGTGTCACTGTTTTTTTGATAGGTTAACACCTAAGTGATCGAGTCTAAGATAAATATTTCAGACCAAAAAAATGTTATTTCATATGATTTTCTTTATTGCCCTCCAGGAGACACAAAGATGTTATTTTTATAAATTACTTAGATACTTTTCTAAAATAATTGTCTCCTCAAATTAAGCCATAATGGCAATATTGATACAATCTGTCCGTTCACTCTAATGTCAAAGTCATTGTATTTGTATTGTCATTTGACAATTGACAAGGACATTTTGATATCAAATCAAAGAAAGAAAAGAAACCGCCAAAAGGAAACGAAAACATTGAATATTGAATATAACAATTTAAATGTTTCAGTTATAACAAATCAACCAAAAGTATAGTAATAAAACTAAGAATTTAAAGTGTCTATCTATACGTGCGCTAAGAAATAATTTGTTATCATGTTGTTTAAAGCGGAATCTAGCAAAACTGAGAGTACGTTTCAGGCGTGTGAACTGGAAAGGCAAGAAGTAGACTACACGGATTGTTCTAAACGGTTTCAGGAAGTTGCTAGAGACTTTTCGAAACAGTATGCTCACATATATTCAGCTAGACTGAATACTTTCAGAAATATCTTGACTCCAATAGTTCGAAAGAAGTGGTCGGATCGTCATAAGATTTTGAAGTTATGTGAACTTCGAGATAAGGGTACAACATGTGTTATAATTGGGACGCTATTCAAATTCCAAGAACTGAAACCTAGCATCCTGAAAGAATTGTCTGATCAGTTGGAAATCATACCTCAAGCTCCTAGGTTAGTTTTGTGAAAAGATTAATAAAAACTTTTCAATTTACCATTTAAACATGATGTATAATTAAAAGTTTATTTCAGAACACACTTTGTACATGATAGTGATAGTTTAGTGTTGGAAGATGAGCTTCAAAGAATAAAACTGGTCGGCGAGTGCATTGATGTTCATAGTGTTGTGACTGGTGTGGTCTGTGCTTTGTTAGGTAAGGTTTAATTTTAAAATTTCATCATTATTTTGATAATAACTTAACAGTTGATCATGTCTGTGTTCAAATATTTTTATTACTTAATACTTTTTAACTCGTTAAAAGTGTCTTTGCACACACCAATAGTCATGATTATAAATCAAGAAATGTTTCCAGGATCAGAGAATGAAGATGGAATATTCACAGTCCAAGATGTTTGCTGGGCCGGGTGTGGTATACAAAAACCATTACCAAAATTGAGTTCAGACAAGTAAATAAACATTTTTCTTTAATATGAATTCAAATACTCCCACTTTTTCCTCCTTACTATACCAATCAATTTTTCTTACAGATATGTAGTTTTAATTTCTGGTTTAAACACATCAAAGACAGCTGAACACATGTTCTCATTGCATCTGTTGATGGAATGGTTGTCAGGTTTGTCTGGTACATCTGAATACCAAGAGGAAGTCTCCAAGATTGTTAGAGTTATTGTTGCTGGTGAGTCCTTTGCTAAATACTCTAACTTAACATGTTGTAAAAGTTACTACAAATACGCATTAAATGCGTTTAATGTTTATGATATTACAACTTCCGCGCTGTTTCACTTGCTCTGCTCGGCGCCTATTAATCAGAGCGTGATATTTTATAGCCTATAGCCTTCCTCGATAAATGGGTTATTCAACATAGAAAGAATTTTTCAAATCAAACAAGTAGATTAGCGCGTTCAAACAAACAAACTCTTCAGCTTTATAATATTAGTATATGTTAAATTTATGTCATCATTCTGTAAATGTTTTATAATTTATAGTAAGTTCAATTTCAATAAACTTGTATATGATTCATATTGAAATACTTTCCAGGTGGAGTATTAGCAAGCCAGACAAAAGAAGGTAGTGAAAATGAATCGGATTTCTTTGCTGCAGTGGAATTAATGGACTCTTTAGCAGCCACTTTAAGTTCAGTTGCACCTCTAGACCTCATGCCTAGTAGCAAGGATCCAACTGGAATAATGTTGCCACAAAAACCTTTCCATTATTGTTAGTTCATTCTGCTATTAATTTTTTTTTATCATCAATACATAGTATAAAACAAAGTCGCTTTCGCTGTATGTCCGTATGTATGCTTAGATCTTTAAAACTACGCAACGGATTTTGATGCGGTTTTTTTTAATAGATAGAGTGATTCTTAAGGAAGGTTTGTATGTATAATACATGCATATTGCACCCGTGCGAAGCCGGGGCGGGTCGCTAGTTTTATATATAAAAAGAAATAATGTACAAATGTTTTTTCCAGGTTTATTCCCTAAAGCTATTGAGTACAAATCCTTCAATCGAGTGACTAATCCTTATGAATGTGATATTGGAGGTGAGCATTCTAAGAAATAAGTAAATACTATGTCATTTTTTATCAGTGTATTTATACAGCAATGTATTTTTCCTAGGTTTCACATGTTTGGGGACTTCAGGTGAACCAATAAAGGATATTATGAGATATAGTAAGCTTGACAACACTCTGAAAGTGATGAAGAAAACCCTATTATGGAGGAATATTGCACCAACTTGTCCAGATACAATACCATGCACACCTTGCACGGAAACAGATCCCTTTATTATTTACAACTGTCCAGCTATTTACTTCTGTGGCAATTGTTCTGAATTTGCAACTGATCTATATGAAGGTACAGTAACTGACTTCAGAAATATTAATAATAAAGAATTGACAACTAGACTAACACTTTATTTCTTTTTCAGGAGATAATGGCCAGCGCACCAGGCTAGTGTGTGTACCAAACTTTTGTGAGTCAATGACTGTTGCCCTGATAAACTTGGCAAATCTAGAATGTTACAGCATGAAGTTTTCATAATTGTTAGCTTGTAAAATAATTTGAATAAATGGATTTAAGTTTTGAATTTGTGTTTATTTGTGGTTATATACCAAAGCAAATTTGGTTCATATGATAGTGCTAACTATCGTTTCTAGTTAAATAGTAGCCATGTAATTATTTACTGTAATTTTTTAAAGATAAAACTTTTCCTAAGGATCTAATTCTAAATTGATCTTATCTGAAGAATCATTTAAACAATACTTTATATTTTTTATTTTTGTTATAAATTTATGTCCTAATTTGGATTTCTCTTATATTTTTGCGACATTTCTGTAATTTAATTTAAATTGAATTAAATTTCATTCAATTGTTCTATGGTTGTATATGCATGATGGATTCCCTTTAATTGAAGGATCACATGGTTATTGTATTATCTGGTGGATTAGTTTTTAGCATTTAAGTGAAAGTATCTTTTGTTGGGAGTCCAAATAAAAAAATCTGCATTTCATCAAATGGTAGTTCGCAGCTATTCGATAAAGAAATTGACAAATTTGTAAAGAATTATATACTGCGTCATGAATCATCAGTAAGTTAGAATTTTTTTTTACGAATTTTATTTGTTGACGAATACTTGAATTATTATTTCTAAAATTCTTTCATATCGTGGGGTCTCACTCAAAATATTGTGCAATAAAAAGCTTCTATTGCGTCATTTCAGAAGAGTACTGAGAGGGCGCCACTGTTTAAAGTAAAATATTTTTTTTGATTGGCAACTCCGAGGCTTGCTTGCCTCCTCCCGCTGAACCTCTGCCCCTCTTTCTCTATTACTCATCAATGGCTCAAGACTAGTAGACGTGTTTAATTGTTTTCCCTCTGCTATAATTGCGTTCAAGATGGGTTACTAGTGCCTAAAGTTTGCACACCTGCGTGTGCCTTCACACGAAATATAAAAATGTTGTAAGTACAAGCTTTTTATTATATGTAATTTTAATATTAAACTGAGGTTTTCACTTTGCCATACTGTTGCATTCCATTCAATTATCATTATTCCAGAGGTGAAAATACGGTACAAAAGTTCAATATTTGACAGTAAATAACTCATGCACCTGTTTGTTTATAACAAGTGTTTGTAACTTTTTCATTGACACACATTGTTTAGCTATGTGGTCGAGTCAGCTTTCACCGATACCAAGTTGCGCGGGAGATCTATTATTACGACATTCCTTAGAATAAACCGCGCTTTGACTTCACAATCAGCTTAACTTGTCGCACATACATGAATAGTCTAAGTTTACAACATCACTTTAAGTTTTCATCTATTTCACAGTGATAATTCGGTTTCAAGCCTTATCTTACATTTTCTTAAATTGCAAAGACCTATTGCGCAAACTGTTGATAAATATTTTCGGAATAAAATATGTATTTACAACATTAGTAAAAAGAAATTTTAATTCTTATTTCTGAAATTTTCCTGTCTCATGTTGTTATTGATCAGGGCCATGAAAATGAAAGAGAAATTAATATTCATAACCATACATTTAAATAAAACTCAAGCAATCACACTCTCTGTGAGTAGTGTGGTATTTTTTACTCAGCGGTGACCATTGGTGTTTACAATCACCATGTGACAAGTGCTAGGTTAACTGTGATATTTTGTTGACAAACATGTTTTTAAATTAAGATTTCTAAATCTAAAGAAATGAATTTAAACTGTAGAAGTTGTATAGAACAGGTGGTGATTCAGTTAAATGGGATGTGCTGCACTCCCTGTGGTATTAATTTCAATGTAGTCTTATAGAAACTACAAATATCTTCATAATATGAATATATATATTATATCAGTCAGTACATACATTACTCATTGTTATTGTCTGTGGTAATGTGGTAAAGTCCCGAAGTTTATCCCCCAAATAGGTACATTATTTTATTATAAATCAATAATGATATTAATTTAAAATCTTTAGTAGTACTTATTAAAAATATTCTTGTTTCAATAGAAAGACAAAGTAATTGCTCTCTGCAAACAATCCGTAGGTAGTATAGTTGTATTTATCATAATAATTTATGAAAAGTTTATTTGTTTTTGTTGTATGACTTAAAATAGTTGATTCAGTTTTTGCTATTGAGTTTGCTATCTTCTGATTTCATGCTGGTTTTCTTTTAATTATGTTCTTACATATTTACAAGAAAACCTTTGTAAATATGTAAAAAATATAATAATCAATTTATCCAGTTAAACATTTAGTTGGTCACGAGATCATGTTTAATGAATGATTAAGATATTTTCAGTACATAATGTGATGCTGAACCGCAATGACTTGTTATTTTGATACTCTGCTAAAATGAGTCAGAATCGGTAGTGAGCCTACAGGAGTAATTGAATGTTACAATATTTACTTTTTATATTTAGTGACAACATAATAACATGTCAAAATTATTTAGGTGTACCATTTTTATAATCAGCATTCAAGATAAGCTTAAACTTATACTTGCAAACAAAATAATACTGATAAAAAGATTTGTCTAAATCATTCAATAATGAATAAAGTTACATAAGAATAGGAAGTATTCCTTCAATAATTGTGTTTATTATCTTTATATTATATATAGTATTCCAGATATTTATAACAATTCAATTATCATTAATTTGACCTGACTATCATTGTTTATTTCAAATTGATTTTTTTATGTAAAAAATGCCCTGTTATCTTTCCTTTTCAGTCAGATTATGTCTGTTATTCATTTGAGAACTTTGGCTTTATTGTATTGTGTATGAATAAATGAAAACACAAAGCCCTTGAAGGATGCGCCATTTGTTAATACCATTTTCTGTAGGTATGATATGCTTTTGATAAGGGAAATTAAATCTTATTTATGTACTTTTTTCTCTGATAAACCAGCTAGACTGCAGTTTTAATCTCTAAGAAATATTTATTACAACTAGCATTGTCTTGTCTGGTAGGAATTATGAGACACACAGAGGTTTTCGTTCATAATTTCATCACTGTTATGTTAACTTCTTAATCCCCGATAATGAAACATCTACAACATTTGTTCACACAAAAGTAGTCTATAAACATCTGAATACAGTGGAGAGTGGTCACCGGTGATCTCCTGTGAACTGGGCAGTACCTGATGGTGTATGTGAAAGGGGTATTATTTATTATGGCTTTGCTATAGATTTGGCAAATACTGTGTATAGTGCATTTAATCAATTTCAAACTGCGTCGTTGGCCGAGTGGTCGCGAGTGCGACTGCCGGGCAAGGGGTCTCGGGTTCGATTCCCGGCTCGGGCAAAGTATTACTGAGTTTTTAAAAAAATTCTCAGTTGTAGCACGGAGTCTGGTATACGGCAATAGGCTCACCCCCTATTACATGGGACTCATAACATAAATAGTGAAAAGTGGGTATTACTTCTGTGTGCACCTCTGCCTACCCCTTCGGGGATAAAAGGCGTGATGTTATGTTATGTCAATTTCAAACTTTATTTTCTGGGCAGGTCATTGGGATCCCCAGGGATCGAAAAAAAGGTAATGGTCAATCACACCATAGCAATAAACTCAATTGGCGGTCCCTTTAACAAGGAACTCATTATTGGATAGCAAAATGATACATTTATTATGTGAATCACTACTATTTAATATTTTGTTTATGTAAATATTTTTTTATTTACTATCTTAATACCTATTGTGATTATGGCGTAAAGTTTATTTTTGGTGCAGACAGTCACCTAGCTACGAGCTAGCATTTCAAAAGTTTGCGCAATCATGTCTTGTTCGTGTTGAAAGTCAATGCAATCTACTGTGTTGGGACATAGTAGGGTGGTAGTACGTGCTTTAGTTCCATATTGGCTGATGTACGAGCAATTTTCACATCTATCTACTTGGCTATAAGAATCAATATAAAACACGAAGTACCGTCGTGTTCACGGATGACGTCAATGGTTTCCATTGCTCTACGTAGTTATTATACATGTATAGTTTGTTGTGTTGCGACGCAATTTCGTATACTACTATTTAGACTAGTACTACACACTACATATTTTGTTTCTTTATCATTCTCATAATATCTGTAATACTACGAAAAACCTCATTCATGATTATTTGATAACTTAACGCCTTCACTCGTAAAGGAAGTAGACAGTAGGCAGTAGACTCGTACTACACACTGTACATATTTTGTTTCTTTATCATTGTCATAATGTCTGTAATATTACGAAAAACCTTATTCATAATTATTTGATAACTTAACGCCTTTACTCGTAAAGGCAGTAAACAGACGAGTCGACAAAACTTATTCGTTACTTCCAAGTGCATTTTTGTTGACTGTGAACAAATCACGATTTCAAAATAATATTTGTATATAATATTTAATTTGAACAACCCGGATATTGAAACTATTTGGTAGGTCGTGAATCGCGGTCCCTTGCCAACGACATGGAATTGAGTTAGATTTATGTTTGATAAGATAACGGCTTATTTTTTTCGTCATCGACCAACGATAAAGCATATCTCATGACGCTTAACTCATGAATAAGCACAGTATTCGCTTCTACATTTATGTGTTAGGTACCTATATAGTTTTAAACGATCAATATTCAAAACATGAAATATCGGATACATTCTTCGAGTGTTAAAGTACCTAGCTATTTAAGTAAAAAATGTCTATGTAACGGGTTTAGTATTGACCGATTCACAACTTCCTTATACATGCATGCATTCATTAGAAAACACGATAGACAAGCAAAAAAACTTAGCTGGTATTACTCATCATTCTTTAGCCGAGTGATTGATAAAAAAACTATGCGATCTTCTAGAACTGTGTTTTACACGCACAATTTCAAGGTCGTGGTCCAAGGTACAATACAACCTATAGCATTTTACATTCTTCGCATACTAAGACAAAAACGCATGGACGCAAAAATAATTTAGCATGACGTCACAGTCATTGGCATTATTATCGCATGTGTCTCATTACAGTATGAAACTGTAATTATAAAGGAAAATTAGTACAAATGAATAAGCAGAATCATTACGTTATAGTCTAGGTACATACAGATAAGGTTCAGGTCACGCTTTCCATTCGAGGGGGGCATGGGGCATTCACTGATATGGGAGATAGAATTTCAAATACATTATTAAATTTAGTTTCAACTTTATTTTTCATTCTTTGAAAACTTATATACTTTTTACTATAAGATAACATGGTACCTACAACATTCATACTTCTCTATTATTGAAACAATGCGTTAAACTATTATACAATCAAAATGGCACACTCGATAGATAAGTAGGTACCTATTTTTGTAAATTTTTCGATTAGCAGTGACGCGGCGACGTAGGTGATACAAAACAGATATGAAAACATTTTTCACTGCTACTTTTATCAATATGTGATAGAATAAATGAATATAATCGTCTTGTTATCTACAAACAAAGGTTTGCATATAAGTTGCCAAACATTGTATTCGAAACTGCGTTTTGTACTAACAATATGGCTAAAATAAGATCAGGAATACCAAATTGTTTACATCTGTTGTACAAATACAATGGTGTGATGGTACTTTGTGATAAATGCTTTGTGTTGCCTGCAACACAAAGCAAGTCAAGACTTGCCTGAAATAATTTGACTACTATAATGGGTTAAAGACTGTCATAACTTACATTATACATTTACTCTTCGGGAAGGTAAGAATGATATCGTTGACCGATAACGCTATCTACGCCCTCCTGCTCGTAGAATTTGTTTTGTAGTCTTATAACGAATTGAATAGAATTGAAAAATAATGATGTTTTTCTAAACAGCAAAACACTAAATTAAAACACTGTTCTTAAACTAAAATTAATTTTATGTGAATTTATTTTTCAGTGCCACCATGGCGCCCTCACCGGACAGCTTTGTCCTTCGTCAACAACAACCACCTTTATCACCCTTGGACGCTGATCTCCTTGCACTCAGTTTTAAATCTGTGGTGAGTATCTTTTTTCAAATATAAAGTTACAGCATACGCTAAATTTACAGTTAGTACCTCTACCTAGTTATCCTTTCTCTAGTTCTAACTAGTATCTACCTAGAGTAGAATCCCCTAGGATTCCCATAAATATAAACAACGAAAATTTTATTGACGTGTTCTATATCTATCTATAATCCTTATAAAGTTTATATTATCTTATTATACAGAAACTGTTTCAATTACAAACAATGTTATTTCACTTCCACTAGTATAATTTTTTACTAACACATGAATGCGTAAAATTCCAGAGTTTGCAACGCTCCCACAATGAGTGCGAGTTCCAGGGATCAGTTGCCGGCTTCGGCCGGCGCCCTTCTCTCTACTGAAGAGTGCTTCATTCTGCTCGATGTTGACATCGAACAACTTTTAAACAACAACGATGGTACGTATCTGCCTCCGAGTTACTATCATGAGGTTTACCACATCTGAGTTTGTCATCAGGATCGCTAATGTAGCGCAAAGTCTCTTGTCCAGTAAGCTCTATGCTTATGTCCAGCCAAATAGTATTTGAAATTGGTTGGCTGAAAAGAACCTTACATTCTTTAAGCTCTATCTAGTTAGCACAATAACAGTAGTCTTCTTTGGGAAACCTTATTAACAGTACCTTACTGATTCAGTAAACTTTTTATGAAGCAATTCTGATTAAACGATTATGAGATCAATGTTTGCGAACGGAACAGAATTGATATAATTGACTGCCGGTCAAAACCATTAAAATAAATAATTACATATCTCATTACTGAAACAGTCGAAAATATTTAAAAATAATAATCATGCTTAAAACTGGCTTCAACTAGACAGCCGCGAACCAGTTCGAAAGTTAAAGTTTGTTGTCTTGTTCTTACTGATAATAAAAAAAATCAACGAAAAATGAATAACCTTTTGTATCTTGTTTAAAGTTTACACAACAACAACCTACACGAGTCGATTTGTAATAGTTTTATTGAATCATTGAAGAAGAAAGTATCTATTTATCGTTAGGACACGTATTAGGTAAATTATTACTTTTCTATTTTAGAAACTGTTACATATTTACTAAGAGTCGTTTCTATGATTTGGTGCTTGATTATAATGTACTGTAGCAGTAAAATCGTAAAACCATATAGGTATAAACTATGTGTAATTGACGCGCAATTTGCAACACTAACATTTTTATCAACGAAATTGCCATAGTTATGAAGAGAAAACGTGAGCTAAAATCAAAACTATCAAAATATTTTCTTTATATACTCATTACTGTACAGTTAAGAGTCGCTGGTATCGATCTGCGTTCTAATCCTGGTAGTGGTCTATGAGTAGTGTTGATTATAATAATTCACAGTTTAAAAACCATGTGAGCCGTGATATAAATAGCTACGAAGAATCGTAGCTATTTGTATCAAAATAGGATTTCTTGAACTTCGAGTTAAAAGTTTAAAATACATAGGCTATTGGATATAAATTAACTAATGTATTAGTAACTAGCTTAACCACATTCGTACATACACATGTTTGTTATACTTAGTTCGTAATATACGTAAAACTTGTACTAAGAAAAACAATAATTGCAATTTTCCTATTAAGTCATGAAATAATGGTAGTTTATACCACCGTTTTTTAGTGCATCGTACGTATTTTTTCCATTTATTGAGAGAAACAGTATGTATTGTAAACTAGTAATAACTCTAACTAGATAAAAATAAGCGTGTTAAGCTCTTGACGTCATTCTTGACGGTATTTAATGTTATTGAACTTCATTTCTTCGAAGAGGAAAATTGCAGCGATTCGTAATTGCTTGTTTACGTATTTTTAAAGTTGGTTGTTCTTGTATGGTTTTCCTGTTCACAGATTAACGCATAATGGTGTTCTTTCCTCAACTTTTTGTTTCGCTTGCTACCTTCGTCTTTTGTTTCATTCTTATGTTTTTTAAACGGCAATTTTTATTTTTTATTTCTTGATAAGTGTTTTCTGATACAGTATTTTATTAATTGGTAACGTAAAAGGAAATTTAATTACCATAAAATGAGAGCATTTTAATGGTAGTTAAAAGGAATGTATATTTTTTATTATAGAGGGTATGGTAAAATAAAAAAATAAAATAGCTTGTGGCTTTGGCCCCTTTTCTATGCTCTTAAGTGTAGTTTTGTGTTACCTTGTTTCTGGTAAATATGGTCAATTTATAACCTTGATGGCATGACCTTAATAAGAATACTATAGCCTTGTTGAGTGTCGCCAGTGTCATTTATCTTTCACATTTTCTAATGAAAACTTTTATGAAGTTACTTTCAGTCTCCTTGTGACTACATTCAGTGCAACCTGGCCGAAACTTTAACCAACATATAAAATTGAAGAGAAGTTGTTAATTCTCGGGTAAATGTAGGTCGAGGTAGACTTTTCTTTCTTTTATTATTTCATAATTGAATTTATTACTCCTTTGCAAACATTCGCATAATTTTTGCCGCAGTCACAGAAAATTAAATGAATGACGATAAAATATTCAAATAAAAATGACATCTGAATTGTAATACAATGTCATATAATTATCGACTTCATAGAACAAAATAATCAAAGGAAAAACGCATTGCCTGTCGCTATTTCCTTTTTTTGTTTGGTGTTTAAAGATGAATAGCTATTACTGTAGAATCCAATACATCATTAATTATGCCTACGTATTTATTAGATAGTTGCAACTTCAACCGAATATATCTTATTAAAGGTATTTATTTGCCTATTCACCAGTGAAGAATGGTGTAGTGTAGAGGGTATTATGATCTTGACATCGGGTGAATCTGAATGGCTTTGATGTACACCCTGTATTATACAAATTGGACGATATTCAAATATGAACTTTATATAATGAACTATAAGAATTGTAGTTAGTATTACATAACATCCTGTTACTTTTAACCAAGTAGGGGAGGGGTTGGTGGAATGTGGCTTCTTTATTATTCTTTTATTTTTGTGTAATTTAAAACACTTTGTTAGGGTAGTCATTACTAATGTCTCCCATCTTTAGACTACGCCTGTTGTTATTTATGAGCAACTACATTTTTATTTGGTGATGAGGTCTTTCATAGAGTTTATTAGTACTAGTTGTACTACTTGTGCATAGCAATAGTAATTAAATGCTTCTTTATCTATAGATATTGTGATAAATAGAGTATTATCGATAGATTGGATAGTATAGAAACGGAGTCACGTAATAGTTCTACATACACTGACTTCCCTGACCTACAGTAAATCATTTCTATGAATAGATAGATTATTTCAAATCTAAATAGTTACTGTGGAATAATATTTTCATAACATCACCTTTGATCGGCTTGTTTTGACGCGGAAACTGGGTACATATTATTATTTTGTATTTTAAGAAGTTATGAACAGAATTATATTTTAAACGGCTTTCTTGAAAATAAAAAGGTATACAGAATTTAATTGTATAGAATACTAGGTTTTGCAGTGACATGAGATAAAAATTTTCTGCTTAGATATTAGGCTACGTAATCGAAGTCTGAATCCTTTCTGTAAAGAAGAGTCATGATTCAGCAGCACGTCACGGCTGTTGGTATATCATGTTATAGATACCATTTTGTATTATTTCTTTCAATTGTAAATATATTGAGCGGAGTAATTGATTAATTGTACCATTCTATTCATATAAATAAATAAAATAAATTAAATCAGATCTAATTCAGGCTGTTGTCAACGTAATGTTGATTTAAAAAAATACTGTACACGTTCTGGAAATAAATTGCATGATTTTTCTAGGTGTATGATTCGAATGCCATTAATTACATAATTTGCTTGCCTTACATAACGCCGTATATTGCCGAGACAGCAGTTTTCTATTTAAGTATATTGAGTCATACTTATGTAGTAAGGTTCTAGAACTTGTAATATGATTTTTTTGCTTTCGTCATCATCAATTTGTTTCTATCCACTGCAGCAAATAGGCTTCTCCAGTAACATGCCATGAGACATTATATTTGGACTTTGAGTTCAAGAAATAAGGTTTGTATTTTTATCGTCAGGTATTGATACACCCTTGCAAAATCGTATTGTTTCTTCTGCATACGTATGATGCTGTTCATTAGAAGATGCTAAATACCTCTTGATGATAAGTAGCAAAAAATAAGTAATTCAAAATTTACCAATGAGCTCTTGTGTTTACCTATTGCAGGCCCCACCTACACGAGATTTGGGATTTATCATATTTTTTTTATCAATCACGCTATGTTATTCTTGAACTTTGGTGGTAAGTTATATGTCACGTCTTCAATCTTGTTTTTATATAACGATAGTAACTATGTTGACTTGTATTCTCTCGTAATACCAGTCAAAGAAAAAGAAATACTGTTAGACTGAATATTTTAATAGCTCCGAAAGTAAAAAAAAATTCGTAAGCAATCTCCATAAGGACAGCGTGTTTGTTCTGATCTTGTTTAGCCTCTTAGTTCTCAAAATATAAAAGAAGGTTCACTAATATATGTATTTTAATATCCCTTTTTTGTAGACGGGGGGAAATCTTCAAAAGGTGCCTAGGTTTTTGGGGAAAAGACTAGAGAGTGTGGGGTTTTATCTCACTAAAACCTTCCCGGTGGCCACCATGCGCACCTGAAGGACGCACCGGGTCTTCATAGTAGACCTTCCTATTTTGATATCCCTAGATCCTCAATAGATCGTACGATTTGAGGGTTTCAACGACATGTTATCGCAATGCCTTTTCTTTCTTGAAAAAGTTCGTTGAGTTCATATACCTAAAAAAAAATAAGAAAAACAAAAGATATAATGATAAAATCTCTCGCATAGTGACAGAGTTATATAATATGATTTAATGTTTCAAAAGTAAATAATATTTCAAACTATTTATAAAACATTAAAAGTTCGACATATTGTCTGACAGCAACTGATAATAATTACCTACCAATCAAGAAATAAACTTTTCTATTATAACATATTAATATCAAACTATTAGTTTCGCCTATGCTTTATTACTCCCAAGTTTCCTTTGGTCTTAGCATTATTCTTACATTTTTCCCGTTTAGATATCATCACAGGAGAGGTTGTGGTTTTAGTCAGCAAGATTCGCTTTCACCTCACCCAGGACGGAAGGGGACTTAAAAAAAATAACTTTTATTTTACTTCTCATGCAGTCTATCCATGTTTTCTTTAGTTGAATTCTTCTTTTCCACCAATCCATATTTAAATTCCAGATTAGCTTTGTGACATGTTTTTCATATCTTCTCATATATACCATAATCAAGTGCACGCGTACGCAAAACTAAGTGTAACCACTCTGTATTTGCTCTGTGGTATTGAAGACAGATCATGTGATGCGTCTCTTAATGTTTGCTCGTTTAAGCCCTATCCCATTCCCATAAAAACTATTCGTTAAATATTATTTTAGAATATGGAGATATAGAAAAGAAAGGCCAGGCGATAACAGTGTCCTAAACAATGGTTTATGACAAACAAGTCTCGTCACGTAGCTGGTTGGTGCGACAAGTCGAGCGTGTTGTACAGCACACGCGTTTAATCGATGACCTTATTTGGCACTCTCTGATAATGTATGCTCTCGGTAATCTATTGAACTATTTTGTTCACTGAAGACGTCAGCATTTAACTGCCTTAAATGGAATTTTTGTACGGTCCGATAGGCATAATTGCTCTTATCAAGATTTATTTTAATAAATGTATTATATTTAGTTTAAAATATAGAATCAGTATTACTACCTACTCGTTTTAGATGAGTTTTTTAAGTCTATTTTTTATCAGTTGTTAATTTCGGTTAAATTAATTAACTTCACGTAAATAGAATGCGAAATAGCATCATTTAGGGTGTTTGAAGATTAAAGGGATAATAAAATTATAGTGACAATTTCATTCGTACGCTAAATCATGGCGGAACAGAACTTGCAATTTTGGTCTGCTTATTTTTACTTCGATCTAATGAAAGAAGACAGGTACTGAGGATACTAATCTTTAATGTCCCAAGTTTTTGGAAAATTGCCTCTAAACAGATTCCGAGAAAATTTGACTGTGCAATTTTTACAACAGTACAGATTTTGTAAAAGATTGTGTACCATGAACTCTCACTCTCACGTTCCCTCTGCTCCGTCAATCACGACTGATTTTCTAACTGTATCACTGTTGGATTTATAATTTTTTGCACAGTTCTGGAAGATTCGATCCACGTGGGGGTTTCTTAACGTTATATAATCGAATCTCCCTTTGGCGGCAGACGTAACATCCTGGAGTTTAGTCGCCTTATCATAATTCGCGCCATTGTTATCAGCATCCATAATTATCTCGCGTGACCGTTTGACACAACTCGTATAATTAATGTGGTTTATTCCTGACGCGACAGCACCCCCACGAACTCACCTCATGCACATTGATAATGCGTTAGGTCAATATGATTATTATATTCCAGTCACGGTAAAAATACATTTATTACGTACTAGTTATTACACGCGACTCGGATCAATCCCTTTACGACCCGCCATCAGCAAAACTGAAACTTTTTGCAAATTGATATGTCGCAGGGAAATGAAGAAATCAGGGATTTTATAGATATTAATAACATTGTTTGATTAATCACATCTCAATTCACCACTTATCTCAAGTTTATAGAATTATAATCTTTAAGGGAATGGCCAACATTTAAATTAAAATCATATGGACAACACTTGATTTTTCGACAAAACGACCAATCTGTAGATACTTTACATTTACATTCTAAAGTATAGAACAACAAAATTTTATTCTTTTAGTGATTAAAATCTACAACGTGTCTGAAGATTACTTGATAAAAGTTTTTATAATCTTAAAAAGTCCAGAAACACTAAAGCAAACCTAAAGTTTAATAGTATAGCGTTCTGATTCCACTGCCACTGTACTTGGTTCCACGGGTATAATAACAAGCTTCATTCACGAGAAGGCAGAAACTGTAGCACTTAGTACGATTTTTACAGACTTTATACCATAGAAGATTTCACCTTATGCATTTTCTTGCTTGTGTGTACAACATACTTGTAATGACATTAAAATAAATAAATATTGTCACTCTTAAAAGGGGTGTGTGTTCCTGACAAATACAATTTGGTAAATACGTGTTCAGTAATCACGTTACCAAAATCTAGAAAGTAATTATAAACATCTATTAAAATGAAAAACGTATTTGATTATATTAAATTCAATTAAGATATGTATAATAGACAATTAACATGTGTGTACAAGTTGTCCTCTTGTTTGTTACCCTTGACGAAATAATAACTGTACAATGTACATAGATAAAACGTGTATTTCCAAATGGTTCCAACTCATCAACGAAAGGAACTTTACTGGTTACTATGTTAAGAACGTGGGTGTGTCTTGATAATCACTTGCTTGGTTAGTGACTGTAGTTTGGGAGATAAGAACAACGTCATCAAGAATCTTCTAAAAACATATTTGTCTTGAGTTACTGGCCTCTGCTCATGTTTTCAATTGCATATCGCCTGTTTGCTAGTTACCATTAGTTATCTTGTTTCCAATGAAAATATGTTTTGACATTTAATTTTATAACATGTTGTTTGTCTTGTACTGCATACGGAATATTACGGACTTAAGGCGTGGCTATTTTAGTATCATTTATTTTATTTTCCTGTTAATAGATTTTCTTATATTGTTTACTATAATGGGCTGTGTACTCTCTTCATTATACTGGCATGTCTTTCATTCAAGCATAGTTAAAATACGAATTTAATTCATTTTGTCTTTATTAAAGCATTGTAAGATTTTTTACTCATGAACGATATTACTATAACTACAATTAAAAAGTTTCTTATGATATTAATCAGAAAGCGATCAATACATATGTATTTCGTTACATCACTGGTGAATGGTGTTTTTATGAAAGTTGACGAAAATGCAAAACTTTTAAGCAGAGCTTTAAGCTTAGTGCATATCATACTTGCTTACATGAAAACAATGGCATAAGTTAATAAAAGAGCTTTGAAACAAGCTCTTATTGGTGGCGTTAGGCTCACGTAGTACACGAATGTATCTAATGATACATTCATGTAATCATGATAATCACAAAATTATGCCTTATAGGGTTTGGTTACTAAACAATTAAGCTTAGTACCGAAAACTTTAAGCTGAAATTTAATCATACCAAAACTTAATGCGTGATCTTTATCGTATTTGGATTAATAAGAGATTAACGATTCAATTATTAAGAAGGCATAACAATAATTAAACTAATTTATCATTATCATCGTACTAAAATCATCAAAATTTGATTAATGGAAAAAAAATTCGTAAGGAATGAGCGATCTAACTTGACCCTAATGTTATATCGGTACAATCTTAAAAAAAATAAGACATAAAATGAACAATGTAAAGATGTTTTTATAATAACAGAAATTATTGTTATGACATTATCACTCGAGATTTAAAGCATCACGACATCTGGGCGTTACTTTGACGTAATATCGTGCGACAGATACCATTCATATATATATTGACGTCTTCTCTCTTCACGCTGTATTTTGTACATTACTTATCTAAGCTACTTACCTTGAAGCTTCTTCGACTTGTTCAGTCGCATTGCTCCAATAATTTTAATTAATTATTCGGGATTAAATCTGTTTTGTTTTGTGTCTAATCTTAATCAATCTATTGTGCAAAAATGTGTTGTTATAAAAGTAACGGAATGTGTGACCTGTGTAGGGAATTCCAGTTGTCGCTGCTGCAAAGTAAGAAACTGCATTCATACGTGACATACATTTTTATATTTAAATTTTAATAAAAATGAATAAAAATTAAATAAGTGTGTTAAATAATTTAAATAAAAATTTGATGTATGAAATATAATCTGTCTTAACAAAAAATGTTTTTGAATAAAATGATATCAAAATTAAAAGATAGTTAAATATAAACAATTTTAATTTAATTGCGCAATATTTTAACAACGAAACAAAATATTTTTGAAACTGAGGATAAACAATGACTTAATTTTTATTGATGCTCAGAAACTTTGTCGTTTCATTCTCATTTTTGTTCAATGTTCTATAACATGGTGTTTCTTTGTCGACAGATTTGCTTAAAACCTTCCCAAGCGCTGCACCGAAGACCGAGTACGACAGCTACCATCTTCACGACGACCTGTCGACCAGCTTGTACCCTCCGTCTCCCCCGGAGATCAAGCCCAGTCGCGCTGAGCTTGCCAACGATCTTCTGCAGCAGCTAGACAACAACTGCAAACAAGGTAATTCGTCATTTAATTTTTATTTTCTATCCTGTTTTATAGAGATATTTAGATATTCAGCAATTATCAGTGTCGATCCAATGATCGGGACCTCACAGTTCACCAAGGTTTACACAAACTACGGAATTGGCACGGAATGTTGTGGTTAATACTATAAGCTACATTTTATGCTGTATAAAATATCCATGTAGTGTGGAAGACAGAAAAAATTATCTAAAATGTTTCTGATCGAGATAGCTTATGGGTAGGACGTCTAAACTTTGATGCAGTAGATATTCGTTTTAAGTTTTTAGACTTTCCATTATTTAGTATGTCTTGATTTTACCACTCAAGGATTTATCAATTTTTATTTGCGTCAGTAACAGTATATTTTAGAGCATTGATGATTATGATTATAAGCGTAAACGGAAGATAAAGCTTTGTACAAATATGCGTCGCATCATTTGTGACATTCTCAAGAATCTCATTTCGAATTATTTATTTCTTATTCTACAAAGCTTGGTTCTTATTTCTGATGCAGTTTCAGTACTTTTAAAGGTACTTGAAATCTTAAAGGAGGTTTAACAGTTTGCCCGTGCATTTGTCCGTATTGATGACGTAGTAGGAATCATCCCTACTACGCTATCATCAAGATCCATCTTTTTCCTGTTACCTTCTCTGAAATCACAGTATGGTCATTATGGAGTTCCTTATTATTCTTGTATGTGTATCTTTTATATAAATCTTTATAACTGGTCATGTGTTAAGTTTTGTAATGTCATCTCGTGTTGTAAGGTCATTTATAAGTCCAATGTCTAAAATGATAACGATATGGTCTTGTATAATTTGCTTTATTCTTCACAATAATTGGCACATTTTGAAATCTGTTTGGGTAGTGTTTCGAGTGCATTTTTTGTGGTCTATGAAGTGGGTTAAAATGTCAATTATTAAGGTATGTTGGAGTACGATTATGGCTTGAGAGTTGGGGTTAAAAGGGTTTACCACAATATTTAAAATTGCAAAGTGATCATTATTAGAATGACGAAGTGAATCAAGCCTACAGGGTACCGACAGTAGGCGTATCTAGTTAATAAATGGTACTAAAGTGAGATAATATTATCAGTCTTAGGCACTGTACAATAATTCAGGAATTTCCAATCATCGAATTTAACAGATAAATTGTCGACAAATTGACAGTCATTTCACCGTTTGTGCGTAATCATCTCACATGTGTCAGTGTGTCTATAATTACACATGTTATCAATCTTTATTTTGTTTTACATGTATATGTAGGTGGTACTATAGTTTCAATATTTAGCTGTGTTAGACAGCGGTAAATAGTCTGATACAATATCTTGTTTGACGAATGTAGGTACATAATAAATAGTTACTGTTAAATTTTGGAATATTTATGTGTCAACATTGAATGTTTGACTAACCTCAAAATAGCAATCATAAGGTGTAAAAGTCTGTAAGATTGTAAGGTATCGCCATATGGTATTTACATCAAAATATCACCACCACCGAGTAATATGGTTATGGTAGACTTTCCAAAATAACTTTGCTATATCGTGAGCACTAAGTAACGGCTTCTCTACTTTTTGCGTTTAAACATGTAATCGCATAAAAATATGCACTTATATTATAAAAGGGACTGAAAACCAAGACATTATATTAGATGTAATGTCTGTAGTACGTGCTCTATATTTTCAGTGCAACTCCATTTTATGATAAAGCCGTCAGTTATTTATGTATGTTTCTCTCACCACAATTATGTTGGACACACCTCTAGGCTGTTCTATGTGTTTACCTTTCTTTTTATATTGCATCATTTTTGCCCAAGGCTAATTATATTTAACTGTACATATTATGATTATTTTGGTAAAATAAATATTTTATGTAAATTGTAAATTGATACCCTTGCACGATATCACGAAGTGACACACCTCTAACCACTACCTAGCACTACACGTTTGCGTGATTCTCGCTGTCTTTATCAACTATAGCTAATGAGCAATTAAAGCAGATAATGCAATGACGAGTTCAAATGTGGCAGCCAATCGGATAAATCATGGCTTACCGTAACATTTCCTAATTGGTTGTTGCGAATTGGAGTTCAATAATAATGTAGCACTAATATATACGATTGGTTATTACGCTTTCTGGTTCTTGAGCCAATGGTATCAAATACAATCCTACATATTTGAAGTGTGATTGGCTAGCATAAGCTTCCTGGGTTAGTAGTATTTTATGAATAATGTTTATCTCATTACTCATTCATTTTCGACGATATATAGTAAGCAAGTGGTCCCAAACCTTAATGTTATCAAACAAAGGGGTATTTTAATTATCCCAGGTCGTTGACATTTTCGGTGTACGGCAATAGCAAGAAAGAAGGTTGACATCGTTCCCGGTATAATTATGGAATTGCTGTATGGTTTATTCCTAATATTACTTAGGACTACCCTTATATTAAAGAAGGGACTACTAAGTCTACCTTAAATATTAGGGAAAAACCATACGAAACGTGGTTTTACAATAATAATTAAAAGAACTTCCCGGGACAACTCGAGCAAAATAATTTGAGTTGAATAGTTACATAGTTAAAATGACCTTCGGTATTATGTTTTTAATTCGATTAGTGTAGCAAATATAACTTTACCATGTATATTAAGCAAAAATATATTGCAGGATGGTCGATATTCCCGCATGACTTGTTTTAATCTTGAATGTGTAAGTTATATAAAATTATATTGAAACGGGAATATGTAGTTTGTAGATACTGAGCACCATAAGCCGACCCTCTTGAAGTATTTCAGTTATTCGCGTAGAAAGGCTCGACGGGTGCAGGTTGTTGCACTACTGATTGTGACATAAAGCCGAGGCCTCGATCAATTGCACAGACCAGCATTAACTCCCTATCTACCTCATGTTGACATGCTGTATGCGACTACAACTCAACAACCACTGTTCCTTAAACATGAGCTTGCATAGAGACAGAACTGTTATAGTGTTTCATTGATACATTTGTTGTAACACCTTAATCTGATAAGGTGATTAGAATTTTTTCGTTAAAGTTGCATCAGCTTGTTTTCATATAAATATTCAATGTAAGCTATCAGGTAACTCAATACAGTCAGTGTACTTCAATGGCTAAGATGTGGTGTCGCATTTATCGAAATTTACAAAAATTAGAACCGGTTGAAGTGGTATTGGATTCGTGCATTTATATTGATTAGGCAGCGAAGTGAAACCGTGGACGCAGCGTTGCACATTAATGTAGTATTTATATGTTAGTGAGCCGAGAGTAGTGGGGAAAGGCGCGGGTTTGGTGGTCAGGCGTGCGGGTGTGCGCGCGCGCTCAGTACCAAGTTGTGTCCCGCCGCGTTTGCTGGTGACCGTTGCTTGTTTTATAACCCGTGACAATAAATTCGAGTGGAGAAGCACATTTCGAGCGCTCGCGCTCGCCTCTTAACATATGTCTGCCGCAATCTATGCGATTATTGGACGCCGTTAGAATGAAGTGCCATTATCGGTGCATCTGGAACAAAGAGATAGTTTTCAATTCACAAAAACTTGTTAAAAGACGTTAGATCAGGGTTTGCCCATTGAACCCCCTCCGACGACCTTTGCTGCATACCACGAGGATTCCAGTTTTTAGGATACCACTGCCCATATAATAGTTTTAAAGTTATCGTTAGAACTGTATTGTAGCAGTAAGGACATTAAAGGACATTCTTGTTTGGAATAGTAAAGCAGTTACTATAACAATTGGACTTCGTGATGGCTCTGGCTGATATGTATGTTGGTAGGTGGTTTCAGATTTTTTATTTGCATGAAGAGGTTGTTTGTTGTTATTGAGAGTCACTCTGGCGGAAAGGCGACCCCAAGGTTTGAATGCTCTAGTTTTGTTTTGTTATTTGTGTACTTTTGCGTTTTGAAATTGTCATTGAAACGTTAATGATTTTTGTGTGGTAAGTTGGTACAAAGTATGTGTAATCAACGCTTAGCTTTAATATTTATTCCAATTAAGTAACTGGACACATTAACGATTCGATTTGGACCGATAACTTAACTGCGCAACAAACTTGTTTATATAACAACATGGAAACAGTTCAAGCAGCATTTTGCCGGAAATATTATGACGTACACACATAAAAAATATGCTGATGACGACTACCCAGGAAGTCAGTATAGTATTTATTCAATGTAATTAAAATGTTTGATAGTATATTCGTAACATAAAATATGACTACTTTATTTTATTGAAGCTTATATAAAGTTGTAATTGTAGACGACAGCACACGTATATTAAGCATTTTATTTATTATTTATCATATCTGTATTCACGGATGGAATTCATGTATCTCGACGTAATATATCCATACTATAGGCAGCTTAGCTTGTGGAACAAATAAAAAGTAATAGCGAGCTCTGATTTCATCTGCCAAATAGTTTAAAATAACAAGTGGCATCCCGGAGTCCTATTGCTCTTATTATGAGCGTCTATTTAAGTTTTAGTGGCCTTTTATATGACTGGCGAAATCTTCAATAGGCGTAATAGGTTTTTTGGAGAAAAACTAGGGATTGTGGACTCTACTAAAGCCACCCCGGTGGCCACCATCATAGGGGGCACAGGGTTCTCTAATAGACCTCTCCGGAACCCCAGCTTAGGTGGCCTAGCGCAACCAATCCGCACTTTGTCTTATTATGCGAATCCTTGATGAAGAGTTTGCATCCAAGAATAGCTGTTCACTGATAACTTGGGCCACGTTTAACTGATAAACCAGTTTGCGTACAAGACGGCCTCGCTTGCTCGCTCGCCCAATAATTAAAGCGACATATTGACCACTTGTTTCCATTCTTATACATTGATACAGATATGACCTACCAATACACCTTTCCAATGTGGGATAAATAGTTATCTTGGCACGTATTGTAAACGTGACAAAATATAGTTTACTTTTTACTTTTATTGCCTTGGTCCGATTAATTGTCATTGCTTTTTATTGAATGCGTCCTACTTGTTGTTTATTCGTGGGGAACAGTAATGAAACTGAAACCAAATGTAAACGTAAATAAAAACAAAAAAAAAAGACTACCGTTAAAACAAAATAGAGTAAAAAACTTGTTTGCTATATCTACGGTTATAAGGAGCTTGATACGAGACGAGTTTATTATAACAAGGCCGAATCGGTTGTTTAGATTTTTTCGACATGGAACATTCCTAATATTTCCTTAGCTGGTAGCGGGTTTGATCATAAACAAGTTTAAAATAAGATGTTGACATCGGCGTAGCGAACTTATCAAGTGATTTGCTATCGAGGGCGAGGAGTCACCGAACTTTGATTGTGCAGGTTTATCTGAGGTCGAGGTGTTGCAGGCGTCCGAGCTGCTGCCTAGATATTAGTCGCTAACTTAATAGACTGGTAAACACAATACGACACTTTGAATTACATTCTAAATTGATGTTCTTTTCTCCTCTTAAGGTCTGAGACACCAATCTGTACAATTACATCCAATTGATTGTTGATTGCGGTGCCGGGACGGCCATCTCTTGTTTGTTGCGCTTAAATTCTTTATAAATACTTCTCTACTATATCTTTTTAATGACCAAATCAATTTGAACTGGTATCATAATTTTATTCGAGTTTCGAGAAGCAAAAACAATCAAAATCGTAATAATTAGGTTGCTACTGATGACTTTGATAGTGCAACAAGCTTCTAAATATATATCTTTCTGTCTCGTCTTATAGTTAACTGCCTAAAGTAAGTCGATGATGATACCTTTGTTCTATAATTGGTATTTAATAAGGTATAAATAGAGTAATTAACGATTGAACAATGGCCCGTCACTTGTTCGGACACTGCGTGCAACATGAGATAGTGTTTATTTAGTTCAGGGTATCTACTTTACATCTTTACTTACGTTGTAGTCCCAATACTAATGCTTATGACGTGAATAATTTATTGTTCTGCATAATTTTTATTGTTAACGGAATATTCCTAACTAAGCTATCTTGATATTGTATGCATATTGGATATAATGTACATATTATATGTACACGATCTAGTTAACGATTCTATTGTCATTTATGTAATTAATAGAACTCGCATACTTATGTCTTGTTTTTGTCTTTACAGAGAACATCTTCTCCAACTGGCTAGAAGAGAAATCGGAGCTCCCCATTTTTGAAAATATCTCGCAAGTTCCGGAGCGCGTAGAGCCACCAATTCCCGTGTCTCTGCCCATTGCGCCGACTTACTCCGCGCCCCAGCCTACTGAAGACCTCCTTAGGGAATTCGAAACGGTATATGGCGCCGTTGAGCTGACTCATTTGACTCCACCTCAGAGTCCCCCCGGTCCTGCGACTCAACTGCTGCTAAGTTATGCCCAACAAGCACAATGCACTACGTTTGCCCCCGCATTGCCCCTCGTGCCACCACAAGAACAGTGGCCGGTGATGCCCGCGCCCGTGCATGTGCCGGACTCTGTGCCGCACTACGACTGCGGGTACGAGGACGTCGAGGAGCTCGTCCGTCACCGCGCCGCTCAGCTCGCCTCCCCGCAACACTCGGGCGGCAGCGCTAGCGTTTCTCCTCAATCGTCGCCGCCATCATCACCGCGGTCTTCCTGCACCGACGATGAGTGGTCGTCTTCATCCCGACCCAAACCCTACTCGCGCCCGTCTGACGACCGTCGCTCCCGCAAGAAGGAGCAAAATAAAAACGCGGCGACGCGTTACCGTCAGAAGAAGAAGGCTGAAATTGAAGACCTTCTTAACGAAGAACAACAGATGCGTGAGCGGAACTCGAAACTCAGCGACAAATGTTCCGACTTGCAGCGCGAAATTCGTTACCTTAAAGGGTTAATGCGCGACCTTTACAAGGCCAAAGGCCTTATCAAATAAATCACCACCACCGCCACCTCCAGAGACCGGATTACTGTCAATATGGCGCGACAGAGAAGCGCGCATTGTGAACAAAGTTCAAAAAGAAGTTATGGGAGTTTCGCATAGTTTTGATGATAATTAATATTAAGATAATAATATAGATATTACTTGTATCTCATATAAGCAAATCTAAACTCATCGAGCAGAAAGAAACATTTATCATTAGAAGGGACACAAATAACACCATCAGAGAAACAGGTGGCGCCCTTTCTCATCTTTCATTATTTTATCATTTCATCTTAGAGGATAGGTCGCATTCATTGTAATGAAAATATGAATTCCATATCGTGTCTATGACACATACATATTTTTGTATAACACCATATTTTAAATCAACTTCAATCACTGTATTTTATTGTCATCTTATGAATTTTTGATGTTTTATGTTTTCTTACAATAAATGGAATGCGACGGCGGATAAAACTGTTGTTTTATTTTGATTCACTAGTACACTTGCTATAAATATTACGCAATTATTTTGTTAGGAGGGAATAAAACTGTTAGAGGAAGGTACCATAATCACTTGCAAGTTGCATAATAATGACTGACCTCAATACCGTACAATTGCATCAATTATACTAGTACTGCATTAATTATTAACTCGTCGAGTACCGGTTTTGTAGACACAATTATAGAACAATAGGTTGCGGTCACCGGTGACCGCTTGGTATTTGACAGTTTAAGGAGCATTAGAAACTTACAAATGACTTGGCTAACTATAAATGTGTAATTTATGAAAATCTTTCATTATATCTGAAAATGGAAGTTCTTCAAATACTTTTTATTCTTGGAAAATGGACGGGAAATGCTTGTCTGAGTATTCCACGTAGAAGAACACAATAACGACGGGTAAAACCGTGTGTAACCAAATAAGGGCTCGTACACAAAACTGCAATGCGATGTAATGCGAATTTGCAACGCAAAAAATTACGATGCGAATTGCTGCGATACGATTTCATGCGGCAAGGCGTCTCCCAGGGCGACCATTCCTTCGACGACCGTCAACCGTACTAAACGTATTTTTTTCTAAAATAAGTATGCGCTTCTGGTATTGCTTAGGAGATACAGGAACAAGATACAAGAAGATTTTGGGAAGATTACATTTTGATGCGCGATGCGAATCAATTCGCAAGTTTTTGGGATGCGTAAAGGGAGCTCGTACCTTGTTGCGATGCGACGTCGCATCGCAGTTTTGTGTATGAGCCCTAAGAGTTAAACTGTCATTAACACTGACATTGCCTGATCGTAGAGATTTTGATACCCAATGAAAATGTCGCTAATATTAGAAAAACGTTATAAATTAATTTACAACAACATAACATCATGCCATTTATCCCCAAAAGGGTAGGCATAGGTGCACATTACGGCACTTAATGCCACTACAATATAACATCCACTTTTCACTATTTATGTTATGAGTCCCGTGTAATAGGGGGTGAGCCTATTGCCATATACTGGGCAGAATTCCAGACTCCGTGCATTAATTCTGGCACCAAAAGTAACTGATACTCGGAGACATTTAGGTAATGATTAAGTAGTTAAACTATTCCTTAGTAACGATTTTGTTCCGAAAACAATTGCTAAGGACTGGGTTAAGTAGCCATGAATTGTCTGAATACGGCGGTTATTTCATTTTTAAGGAAATCAATTAACATCATTCATGCTGAGTAAGGCATTTAGGAAAGACCTGAGACTGCCTTGTTGGAGTCATTTTCAAGTGCGTCTGCTGAGCAAAGAGTGGGATTCTCGGGTCGGACTAAATGCTATTGCTTTTTTCGGTTTTTTTGTAAACTCTGTAATAGCCTTTGCAACTGTGTCCGATGTGTGGTAAGAGATTCGTGACCTCTTACATTAAATTGGTGAAAAGTAAATGTTAGGTGCCTAGGTTGTATGTAGAATGTGGTTCTTTGCCTACCCCCTTTAGGGAATAACATTCATTACGTTATGTTTCTATGTGTGTAATTAGGGAAGTAGTCCAATTACTTAGTCCAAGAACTTTATAATGGAATTTTCTAAAATAGCAAGACCATGACCGGTAGGTGTCCCCGTTTTTTGATATTCGAATTAAGCGGTGAAAGATACCGTTAAAGTTATTATGGACACGGAATGCGAAAGCTCATTTACAAGTTTGAGAAATTAATAAAATTAGTAAAGAAAACTACTTGAATCTCAATGTCAAATACAAATATCAGACAGTACTTAGTTATAAAAAATGTACCTACATATAATTTTTCTGTAAAGTTTATGTTTAGAAATGCGACTCTCGACTACTGGGCGACCTCTAGTTATAATCTAATCAGTAATCAATATGATAATTTAATAGATTATAAACTAAGCTTCATGTTGCTGCTTATATCACATAGATAACCTTCCTATTATTACGTCAATAACTTATAGCTATTTTATTATAAAAAATGTATTTTTAAAGTTTAATGTCTTAAACTTACTTAAAAACTTATGAATAGGTAAACTGGCCTTAGGAATTATTTAAGATTTCGATATGTATCTACCTAAACCATCCGTTATACCTACTAGGTACTTTAATATTTCAGTGGCGACCATTTATTTTTAATGCTCTACCTACCTACGTTTATAAAATTTTGTTTTGACTAAATGTAAATAAATAAAATTAATCACTTGATTAATTACTATCTAATTAAAAAATACGTGATCTAAGCTGTTTGAGCTGGAAAACACAAGTATTTTGTATATAACTATGGCAACATGTCGAGGTTAATTAATATGATCATAAATTGTATTAAAAAACACTTGTCAACTGTTCGATAAATAAGCATCCGACTGTTATCGCGGTATATTCCCGACAAAGGAAAAACTTTTCCAATAACAGATAAGGGTTCAAAGTAGGTCGTAAGTAGAGATGGGATTTTACCCGGAAAAAACCCGAATATGGGAAAAAACCGGGAAAAAACCCGGGGAAAATTCCCGAATGGGAAAATATTCGGGTTTTTTCATATTTAACACATGTAACAAATAAATAATGTGTAGATTATGTACATATCATATAGTACGTACTATTTAAGAACTATTACTACAAGCTAAAGCTAATCTAACTTTGTTTATGTTCATATTGCAGTAATAACGTTCTATACCTACACGCTGGTGCTAAGTACTACTCTGTCAAGAAAGTACCGGGAAAAGATCAATAATACAAAAAATGTCTGTTATTCATCCAAATTTATTTTATCACCTTTATACTGTAAAACACCGAGCGGTCGGTGTTTGACAGTTTAAACTGTCACCGGTGACCATAACCTATTGTTCTTTAATTGTCTGTAATGACGATACTCAACGAGTTAAAGTATGCTCCTTTAGAGACGAAACACTTGCGCCAACGAATAATCTATTCATCAAAACATTTTTTAAACGCTGCTTCCGGAATTGAGTTTAGTTCTCGCCGCGAATTCTCCTTTACGTCTTCTATCGATTGAAAACGGGTGCCACGAAGTGGTAATTTGAGTTTAGGAAAAAGAAAAAAGTCAGCAGGAGCCCTATCTGGTGGATATGGTGGTTGCTGGATGGTATTTGTTGAGTGTTTGGTCAAAAATTCGTTCACTTTGATGCCACCAATGATAGCCTTGTGCGAAGGCGCTTTCTCGTGGTGCAAAATCCAAGAATTTTCTTTCCACAAATCTGGCCTTTTTCGTAGAATTTGCTCTCTTCAACGCCGCATAAAGCTCAAATAATATTCTTTATTTACCGTTAGACCTTCCGGTAAGAATTCAGAGTGCACAACAGCGCGATAGTCAAAGAAAACAGTCAACATGACTTTGACTTTTGATCGACTTTGGCGTGGTTTTTTCGGTTTCGGTTCAGTTGGAAGGCGCCACTCCGAAGCTTGTTGACTAGTTTGCATGCCAAACTCATAAACCCACGTCTCGTCACCAGTAACAATGCGTTTCATGAATGTTGGGTCCAAACTGACTCGTTCTAGCATATCCTCAGCGACTTTCATGCGATTGAGATTTTGGAGAAAATTTAGATCTTTTGGAACTAGTCGAGCAGCAACATGTTTCATACCCTTTAATGTATAGTATAGATTAGTTAAAATGGTACGGATCGACTCGTGAGATACAGAAAGTTCGGCGGCTATCTCTCTCAGAGTTGAATGGGGATTTTCAGTCACTATTTCCTTCACTTTTGCGATGTTAACTACAGTTGCAGACCAGAGCGAGGCAAATCTTCCATCACATCTCGACCGCTTTTGAACGCTTTGAACCACTCATAAGCACGAGTTTTTGATAAAGTCGATTCACCGTAAGCTTTCTGTAACATTTTTAGTGACTCCGAACACGAAATTCCATTGGCGATGCAAAATGTAAGAAAAACTCTTTGATCGATATTTGTGTCCATTATGAAATTCACAATATACATTATATATGATATTTCTGAAACCAGCGCTGTATTTAGTATAAATAACAGATGCAACTCAAACTCCGCGCCAAAATGGAAAACAGTTGTGCCAATCTAACAACTACATAAAAACAAAAATTTTAATTTGGAACCATCAACAAATCATCCATTCTCGATACTTTTTTGAGTGAATGTATATGCGCATCACAAAGTACCTATTTATTTAGTTCTGAAAATAAAAATAGAATAAGATCATTTTAATGAAAATACCCGCCTATTGGGTTTTTTCCCACATAAAAACCGGGTTTTTTCCCAAATGGGAAAAAACCTGGGTTTTTTCCCTTTGGGTTTTTTCCCAGTGCCCATCTCTAGTCGTAAGTATGCATGTATCGTACTTGCTAATGGCGTGAGGACGGGCCAAGACATACACTAGTTAATTGGAGGGGTGTCTGTTCAAATAGGTAAGTATTTCCTTCTTTATATTATTGCATTTTATTTGGAGAAAATAATGGAACTGAATAGGTACCTACCTAATGTTTTTTAATGAATTGATGGAGAGAGCAACACACCACAGTGAGATGTGAGAAAAGTAAGTTAAGTAAGTAAGTAGTTGTATTTACCAAATTCTCACAACATTACAATACGTTGGACCGAAGAAATGTGATGAGAACGCATCTACACTTGCGACCTGTTTGTCGATAGGTTTCGATTGTTGGGCATGGGCCACGATTTTCGGGTCACGCAGAGTACCTATAAGAATTCAATCAGTTGCAAGTGAGCAAGCAAGGTATTCTCAATAGCTTTAAATTGAAAGTGTTATAAAACGGGAGGCCCAAAATAAATTAGCTACATATAACTGCTACGCTAATCGGATACGTCGGTCGCGGTCAACAAGAGAATTGTCATCGAGATTATCGAAATGGAAGTATCTTGAGATGAACATGAAGGTGTTGCCAGCGGTACGTTAATCCCATTTGTTGCAGTTTGAATTACAACAGAAAAGAGGAGAATTTGGCATACCTACCGGTAATGTAACTGTATGATATAAAATC